TCTATGTTATAATTATAAAGAATTTTTTGAAAAAGAAATTACAGAATTTTGAGAATTAATGAGTATTTTTGAAATTTACTACCCGATAATTGTTCATACATTATACTAGCAGACCGGCCAAGCGTTGCTGTGGCTAAGGTTTTAGTTATATTAATAGTAGTAACCTATTCAAGAGAAACGGTAGGCAACACCAGTCATGGGGACCACATGCTTTTTGGTGGTAATGCCATTAAATTGTATTATTTGAAAGTTGTACTTTAAACAGCGCCATCTGTTAGAATTGTGACTATCAAATAATAAAAAATATTTTGCAATAAAATAATATTGGGTATAAATTGAGATGTAAGCTATTATCTTTTAAGTTAGATCAACTCAATATTTGATTATTGTTTAGAGTATAGGATAAAATAATATATATCAAGATAAGCAATAGCAGCAGCAGCATGATGGCTGGAAGTTTTAAAGGGTCCGATTCACAAGCTTCTTTTGCGAAGTGAACAGTGGAATAACTCCCGGTGGAAGTCTTTCCTGAGAGACGACCTGCAAGTCAAAAGTATACTCTTCCTTCAACGGCCGGCACCCATTTCAATGGCTGTCCATGGGGTGCCATGACACTTCTTTTTGGGCGACCTATAGACTGAAAGACCTGAAAAAAAGGATATAATTTTTGCATGCTAATTTTATGTTTAATTGAAGAGTTGAATTTTAATTAATTAATATCCATATTCCTGTTTTCATGGCATAATCACGTATATTATTAGTGTACGATTCAAGATATTTCACAATACTAGAGCAGATTAAATTACAATTAAATAATAATAGTATAACTAATAAACTATGTCTACATTCAATATATAACACTAACATAACACATACAATTGTAGAGTTGATCCAAATCGTGGCACGCGAAAAACTGTTTGAAAAGAGCCAACTTGCAGATTCTATTCTCAAAACAAAAGTATTTTTAAAAAGTTATATGACTTACTTGAGTAGCAGAGATGCTCCATCAAGATCGATCTTGGGCCTCGTATTTCACCTCATTCCAAGTGTTTGCCTCATCTGCAACTGCTGCTGCTATCTAGTTGATAAAAGGGCCTGGGACTAGTGCTGGACAGGCTATTTCTAAATAATTTGCGATATTTGTTTTAAAATAAGTGTTGTTTGATTATTTGCTATTTTTAAAGAGTACCGAGTGGTTTTTACGCCGGCTTTTTCTCTCGGCATACACCCTCTGTCTTCTTTGCCGATGAGTAGGGATTAATAATTTAATGACGTGGAATAAGTGATACCTGTATCTTATGTTCCATATTAAACATATTTTTTTTGCTGCAACGCCAGGTTTGCCTGGGTCCTTGCGGGTTCCTATCAATCGTCTGCATGGTTGAAATCCCTTTAGATGGCCTATCCATTTCCACTTGCATCGCATCTGCTGACTAATCGAGGTTTCTCTAAAAACTTCTAATCTAAATATTTACCAAAAAGGCTTTAAAGCTAAATGTAGCCGGGTCATAAAATACCAATGTATCAGCTGACAATGTCATTTATCACATCCTGTTTATCATAAGTCCATGACCTTACGCTATTAGTCATAGGTGACAGTGAATCAGCCATTTGGCATGAAAAACGCATTCCAGTTATGGCTAATGTCAGAGATTTTCCACTATTACTATTGAGTCTAGTTGATTGCCGTTGTGAACCCAATTGTACTGTTCCTGGGTCATAGGGGTAGTTTTTATAGATGATAAAAAAAACTGTTTATTCATTTGTACATATGCATTAGAATGTGTAAGATTTGGGAACCCTTTTAAATAAGATATACCTGTGTCAGGATTCCCAGCTCTTCCATAACAAACTTAAGTATAAATTCCTTAAAATATATTTAGGTATACATAATTTAACTAGCCGTTTCCCGCCCGCTTTGCTAGGCGAATAAAAATAGGAAATATATAACATTTTATGTTTCATTATGATTATTTTTTTCATATTTTTATTATTCTTCTTTATAACTAAGAATATTGAAAATTTTCGAAAATCGAGTTTTTAACAGATGTTGACGTTTTGAGGTTCTAGGAAGCCTCCCTGAATGTTTCCGCGGTGAAGTCCGTATGGATAAATTTTCATAAAAGTAAAACAGCAATAAAAAATGAAGGAACGTTGGAATTTAAAACCATCTAGGAAAAATTTCGCATCGAATGGCAGTAGTTTCATGTCGATACGATCAGTTGTTTAGGCGTGAAGGAGCCTCAAACGAAGACCATTTTTATTTGTATAGATTACATCTTTTATGTTATTTACTTTTCAACTGTTATCAACACGCCTGAGTGACTGAGTGTGTGCAAATGTGTAAGTGAGTGAATGAAAAAAGTGTGTAAGTATATACTAGGTCTCAAAAGCATCTCTAACACTGCGCAAGGTATGCTCAGAAGCCAGTCCTTTAGTCGTATCTTTACATTGTAGACGGTGAGCGGGTAGATGTTAAGTAGCCTATTTAATTTATTATACATATATAAAGTCTGCTTGCATATTGCGTCTGGCGAAGTCTCCGGTCTGACCGACTATCAAATGTTTTTAAAATTATGATTTTATTTTGACGGATCATTGGTCTAGTGGTCAGTACCCCTGACTGCGATTCCATGGGTCCCGGGTTCGATCCCCGGCTGAGACGAACATCGATGTGATGAGCATTTGGTGTTGTGCTTAGGTCTTGGGTGTTTAAATATGTATTTATATGTCTATCTATCTATAATATGTATGTATATCTGTTGCCTAGTACCCATAACACAAGCTTCACCAGCTTAGCATGGGACTAGGTCAATTGGTGTGAATTAAAAAAAAAATATTAAACATATGAAATAATTAATTGTTAATTGCTATGAAACGAATGTAATGTAATTCTGATGAGAGTACCTACGTCTATACTCTCGGGCGTAACTTTGACGATTTAGGAAATGGCCATGCTTATGAAACTAAGAAAGCCTGAGCGAGAAGAATGTACAGCCTTGTCTCAGCAATTATTAACATTATCACGACCAGTGGTACACAGAGCAGTGTTGGCCAAGTGGCATCAGTGTGCGACTCTCATCCCTGGTCGTAGGTTCGATCCCCGGCTGTGCACCAATGGACTTTCTATGTGCGCATTTAACATTCGCTCGAACGGTGAAGGAAACCGGTTTGCCTTAGACTCAAAAAGTCGACAGCTTGTGTCAGGTACACGCTGATTACCTATTTGCCTATTAGATTTAATGATCATGAAACAGATTCAGAAATCTGAGGCCCAGACCTAAAATGGTTGTAACGCCAACTTATAAAACTTCAAAGGGAAATAGTGGCGAAAGCTCGTTCGCTCGTTATAATTTAAACGAATAGCTTCGACTTCCACTAATGACATTCGAACGGCACACAAGCACACTTGTAAAAGCTCAAATACCGTTTTGAGTTTTTATTACTCGTAACTGAATTCTGATAACAGAAAGTTCTTGTGATAATAGATTCATACAATAACTTTATTATAGATTAGCTTTTAAGTTTTTAGTTTGTTATTAATATATTTTTTTTGTATTACTTTAGATTAAGGTTCTATATTTTTTTATATAACATTTGGTTCTGCACTTCTCGCACTCATCATGTTTCTTTTTTTTAGTTTTTCTCTTTAACTAGGGTTGCTATATATTATACGGGCGGCCTTATTAGCGATAAGGTTGCATCCCTTATAATTTTTATGTTTTGTGTTTCTTTTATTTTTATTGCAACAAAGTGTAAATAAATAAATAAATAACAATATTAATAATTTGATAGACTATTGTAACTAAAATAGTTTCTTCTCTTTTTGCCAAATGTGTTTTCGTTTTGGTGAAATGCGACAGATGTAGGTATATGCGACAGTCTATATTGTATAATAAAACAAAAATATCACAAACAATTGATAAAATACTAACTTTTTAAAGCCTTACAGTTTGCAAATTAATTTAACAAATTTCTAAGTTCAGGGATTTAATTTCTGTAATGATAATAATTAAAAATAAATAGGTACATAGAAAACTAAAATAAATTTAATTTCTTAAATTTGTTTTTATTTTCTTATTGTCAATTTTTAATTATTATTATTACAATGTAGGGTATGAATATTTTAAATACTAAAAATGGTCCTTGTAGCAAGACTACGCCGGGGTGATGGTGATACCTGTAAGGGCCTTGATCGGTCTGAATAGGGGATCGGCCTCCAGGTCTGGTGCCCTCCACTCAGCCAGTCACGATGAGTTTGTCTAGATATTAGATACGAAACAATTGATCAGAACAGAAGAATTGGTAACATTTGACCGAATTTTCAATGGCCAACAATTGCGTCACAGGATCAGCGACCTGCGTACAGCGCAGTCGCAGTGCATCGATCGGTGATGCATCGCGGTTCCGGGCCACGACACGCGACACGCAACTCTTAATTTGAAAATTGAAATTTGGAATCTTACCGGAAGTACTTGTTTGCTTTATATAAATTCAAATTTGGAACCGAAAGTACTTGCTTGCTTTATTAAGTTTGAAATGAATTGAATTTTCAAATTTGGAACCAAAAGTACTTGATTGCTTTATTAAATTCGAAATGTGTTTGAATAAAAGCTTGGAATTTAGTTATCAAAGAATTCCGTGTTTTGTCTTCATTTACTTGACGAGAATGCTCAGGTATTGTAGACACATTATATAATATACATACACACTAACTGGAACACCCTAAAATAGATTATAATAGATATAAATATATATATGTCACCAGAATTAAACGTGTTTTAATATACGCGCATTTCGACTCATACATTATTCATAATAAACTTATACCTGAAAGGATTGAGTGGTTCATTCACCAGGCCTAATTAAAAAATAATTTATTAAAGTATTAATACGTAATTCCATTTCTTTTAAAACTTCTTAAAACGTTAATTAATAAGCATACTTGCCCTATCACTCCAAATAACCATTATTTTAACATTTTTATAAGTAAGAATTCAATGCAAGTTATTTTAGTACCTTTGGGTCTTGAGCGCCAGTTTAATGGCCACGCATCCGTAGCAGTCGCAGCCAGGCACATTCGATGGCGTGGGGTCCAAGTTAGTAGCGATTATTTCGAAATTTAAGGCAAAACCGTCTTACTGTAGTTTTAACTTTGTCCCTTTTCTAACAGCGTAAACTAAGTTTGAAAGAAAGGGACGAACTATCATTTGCGAATTGTGAATCTCCCGGGGATCTTCCCGGGTAGATACGACCTCCTAAACCTAATGAAACTAAGAGAAATCTAAGCGCTTGCAGTAGGTGTAAGTAAAATTGTATTTTGTGTTTGTTTTTACCAATGTGTCATTGTGCCGAGCGTTGGCAAGCTTTTTCTCAATAAAAAAAAAATACCTTAGTTTTTTGAGCGATTTCAGTGTTAGAAAACAGAGTAAAGCAATAATTTCTGATATTTATTTATTATCTGTAACTGTTTATACATTTTTTATCAATTTACACCCAAATCGTATTAGATAAAAATTTAAGTGACGTGGGAATTTTTCTTTCATTTATTTTTCTATTTCGTTTACAGATTGATATATACTATTTAACCTTGCATAACATATATCTTGGCTGAATGTAAAGGTCGGGGCCAAAGTCTCTAAATGCAAACATTTTAGGTTCAAGCATAGAACTAACGGTTAACTAGATTGGATGGCGTCCAAAATCAATGTTTTATTACATAACCTTTACAAAACTGTTACTTCTATTTAAACCTCCCACCCGGGAAAAGAATATTAGACCAGCTAAGAAGATGGTGTGGTGGGCTGATAAGGGAGCGTTCAAGTATTACGTCACGCAATTTTTGGAGATTATTGACCCCCATGTAACGTTTTTCTGTACCCAAGTATAGTAAAACGTTTCGTGACCATCTAGTGACTCTTTATATCTAAAAGTTACCATTATGTGGTGTAAAGTACTGTAAAGTCGAAAATAATATTAAAAAATAATGCCCCGCCCCGCATCGTAACGTTTACTAAAGGACCCCCTCCCACCCCCAAAATTCGTTACGTAATACTTGAACGCTCCCTAACTTAATAGAGAAAGCAGGAAAATACTGGCAGACGATTAACAAAGATACAGCCATCTGGAGACCTTCACCTAAGAGGGGTCTATATCCACAGACAACTAACTTTTATAAGTAAATAGGGGAAAGTATTACGTAAGCACAACAGGGGAGGGGTCTTTGATTATCTTATTTGGTTACATCAGTAGTAATTATTTTCTTTTATGCACATATTATCCCCCACACATTGTATATGCTTGAAAACGAAATGCATTTTCGAGGATTCCTTTAAAAATTAATACGTTTATGTACTATTATTTTTGAGAGCTTTGCTTGCTTTTCCTAACAAGAGAGGGAGGGGGGGTAAATAAATTGCAGTAAATCTGCTTACGTAATACTTGAGCTTGTTGTCGTCTAGTCCTGTGCCAGATGCAGCAACTCTTCTGCAGTTGCAATACGCGTTCTTAACGTTACGAAGCCATAATTGTTCCTTCTTCCAACATCCCGTTAACCCTGGATTTTACCTACCTATTATAAATAAATGAAAGACGTGGTGCTAGTGCTGCTAGCACTAGTCAGAAATGTTTATCAAATAAGTTACTGGGTCGGGTCTGGTCTGCGTCGATAGCCCATGTCTCAATATCTTGGTCAGATCTGGCGCGAATTTTCCTTCACCAAGTTCTTTTACTGTGTATAGTGTGGAGCCTGCTCCAGTTTTTGACTTGATCAGTGCATCGTTGGCGAACATCCACGCGATCTACCCTTCGTTGTTGCCAATCACGATGATCTCTAGGCTCTGTTTTCCCTTATTGTGTGACCATGTACGAAATGATACTTTATATATTATACTTTACAATAGTTTCTTTAAAACGGTAAGAGAGATAGAAATGAGGAGATTTTGACACTCCCCTGCTGTCTAGATTTTCGTCCCGCGATCTGATCAAGTGACCGACAGGCTACTATGCCCCTATAAATAATAAAAAAATAAGGTTAATGAGAAGGTTTACAATTGAAAATATATTTTTGTTTACCTATAATAATATGTTTGTCGCGTTAAGTGTCTAACTTGGACTTGGCGTTGAATGCATCGTATAATCTGTATCGGACAAACTTCGTTCCTGTTACAAAGTACATTTTACGTGCAAGATAAAGCTGCCTCGAGCTTTATAAGCTCAACAACGTGTTCTCAAGTTTTATAACTTGATCATGTATAGTTTTAAGACACTAATTTATGTTATATTTTTTTAAATAATAGGCAAACGGGCAGGAGGCTCATCTGATGTTAAGTGATACCGCCGCCCATTTACATTGCCAGAAGGCTCGCAAGTGCAAGGTTTTTTAAGAATTGGTACGCTCTTTTCTTGAAGGACCCTAAGTCGAATGGGTTCGGAAATACTTCAGCTGGTTCCACTGTGGTGATGCGCGGCAGAAATTGCCTTAAGAAACGCTCAGTTGTGGAACGACTTACGTCGAGGTGATACGGATGGTAGATTGTGTTCTGTGTTGACGTCCGATGATGAAACTCAGCTGCAGTGCCGAACAACTCCTCTGAATACTCTCCATTAGCAACACCATGAACATGGTTTATGGTCAAATGCATGGACGCTAATTAATCATTTGAGTTAGAAATTCAGTCCTGATGACCCCAGAGCTAGTCGCTCAACGAATTAGCAGCAGGAAGTGCTGCCAGAATTATAGTTATAGTATAGGGACCAAACTTTTTAGATAGTAAGTCCATTGCACATCCTGAGTTCGAACCTACGATTTCAGGGATGAAAGTCGCACTCTGACGCTACTGGGCCAACACTGCTCTCACTTACCAAGAGAGAGAAAATTAAACAATATGGTTTTTTTAGTCATTAAAATATTAGATCTTTAGAGAAAGAATTTTGACTTTGTTTAACAGTACCTAACAATTAAGATTTTTCTTTGAAATATTATACACTATTAATTGTCTTTTGTTTAATGTTAAATCTCTATTTTCTTTTATTTTTTTCTATTATGATATACTTTGTTTTCTGTTTCATATATATATTGTTTATCTATGTAATCTGTTTTGGCTTTGTATATTGTTTAGGTGTTTTGTTTTAAAATATGTATGTTAGCTGTACTCGTAATAATTTTTCGCGGTTTGATTAATGCACTCAAAGCATGTGCTTGGTATGCTGATTAAAACCGTTATACTGGAACCGAGAGAATGAAAATTAATGTTGAAATTTCAGGTTTCATAACAGACTAAAGTGCATATACTGTATTTGCTTTGACGTCAAAATTCAGCGTTTATTTAAATTCACTTACTTTTTTTTCCTTCGTGGTATATTTATTTCGTAACAGTAAAAATTGCCTTTAGTCAGATACATTTACATTAAAACACATTTCCATTTTAATACTCTTTTAGTGTATCTATGTGTCCTTTTTTGGCTAAGGCCTCCAAATCCCGCCATTCCTCTCTGCACTGTCCCACTCTCTGCCATGTACCATCTGCTGTTTCTTTAATGTGGTCTATCCACCTTCTGAGTCCTACAGCTACCAAAATATATATATATGTATATATAAACAAACAAATACACTAAAAATATTTATTTGTTTTCCCTCATTTATACAAAAATACAGACACAAAATACAAATTTCAGCATTAACAGGAATCGTGTGTAAGATCAAAAAGACTTGGCGACTGTACTAGGATACCTGTAATTACAGATTGCCAGTCCTCTCTCCGCATCTGGACCCAATGGATTTAAGAAGGTACATCAAATTTGATCGAGAGACTATTACAAATATTACATGATACGTTACATTTAAGTGGGTGTGTGTTACTGGTGATATATGGTTTATGTGTATGTGACTGTTAACTGTATGGATGAAATTTTAGTAATTTATGACTTTGTGTATATATGTATTAGTGTAAGCATATATGAGCATGGGTGATAGTTGTACCTATGTACTCGTATACATAACGTGAATTAGTGTGAGGATTAGTGAGGAATCTACTAACAACTTCATGAGTCCCCTCGTGAGTTCTAGATTTTTAAGCCATTTGACTGTGGCTTTTTTTACACTCATATTTAGTAAAGGATATATGTTGATCAACCTGTTTATCTTGTTATATAGGTGACAGCCCATAAAACCAAAAAACCCTCCTTGAGAAAGCTGTGGACCAACGGGTATCTGAGGTGCAGACTTTATATTTGCATCGTTTGTTGTCATTCAAAGAAGGATCATAGCGAGTTATGGAGTGTTGTTTGAGCACAGTGTTCAGTATAAATAGTTGACGAACACTCAACACGTCAGATAAAAGATATAGATCTTTGGTGGGGGTAAAAAAATGGTTTAGAATAACTTACTTTCAATAACGCACGCTGAGCCCTCTCCAGTTTTATAAGATTAGTTTTACAAGCCCCTCCCCAGACAGTAACACAATAGCTTAAAACGGATTGGCAGAGGGATTGATAAACCATTTTAATTATCGATTTCTCAGCAATATTACGGAGATTCTTAAAGGTGAAGATAAGTTTCCGAGTTCGCGATAGTAGCAGGTCAATGTGGTAGTTAAACTTTAGCGTGCTATCAACAACGACACCTAGATACTTAGTATTGTTGGCAACAAAGATCTTTTGACAGTCACAAGAATCAGTATCAGAACATACATGAGCAGTTAAACCAAGGTTAGTACTAGAACCAGGAGTTTTTATATAGAACGGTATACATTTAGTTTTATTGACATTGATAGTTAGGGCATTCATTCTGAGCCATTTGTTAACAACGTCGAATCCTCTTTGAGCAATGTCGACAGTATCTTTCCAGCTATCACCATGAAACACAAGTGCAGTATCATCTGCAAATGTTATTATTTTACCATTTTGTAACTGGAGGTCACAAAGATCATTGATAAATGCCAGAAACAGTGTCGGACCTAAAACACTACCCTGTGGCACACCATGAGCGTATCGGCAAATCGTCACTAACAATGTTGCCCCCCACCCTTTCCCCTTTGCTGTCACACTCAAGTAGCTATCAAATAGTTTAAGCTGCAAACCACGAATACCCAAAGCCTCCAATTTATCCAGCAGAATAGGACCAGCGACCGCGTCAAAAGCTTTTGCAATGTCCAAAAATACAGCTAAAATTTTATTTTTCTTATCTAGTTTTGTAACAATATGATCAGTTAATTGATGAACTGCGTCGCTTGTTGATGAACCCGGTCTGAATCCAAACTGTGAGCTGGGGAGTAGGTTATTACAAACAATTACACTAAAAATATAGCCAAAAATCTAATACATAATATTTTTTTTTAATTTATTACTTAAGATGTCATGTGGAACATGGTGTAATAGTTGCAGCTTACAAACGTTGTGTAAAACAAAAAACTTGGCGATTAAAACGAGTGGTGGAGAGTTTATTGCCAGTTCTTCTCTCCCGTTCTACGCCCTTGATTTGAGAACTGGCAGTAAATGTAAAATTAGAATCATTTAATGTATAATTCTTTTTTGACGTTCATAAGAGTACATTGTGTTACCTAAATAAATAAATGATTTTTGACTTGACTTTGTACACTGCCATAGGGATTAAACTTTTTAAATTTATAAATTTTTAATTATTATTATTACTATATAAGGTAGGTAAGGTAGGTATATTTGTGTGTTGGAAATAAATATAAATAATACGCTGAACTCTTGGTGAGGATGTCGTAAACAATCTTGCCACAAAATACATGAAGTTCACGCGGGATGCTGATATCAGAAGCTAGTAAAATAATTCCAATGTTTACATGTGTGTGTTTAATTTTAGACTGTTTATGTAAATTGTTGTTTCCGCGATAAAATTAATCAGAAACACCAAAAAACAGTTTAAGTAACACAAGTTTTGATGCCACAAAAATTATTCCTTCACCTACATATTCCGTAGTGGCCTGATCAATTAAAAAAAAGCATTTTAACTGCCTATCTGATACCTAAAAGAGCAGTGTTGGCCTAGTGGCTTCAGCGTAGTTGCTCCAGCGGGGGAACAGGGGCTCATGCGTTCAAAAGAAGGGATGCTGATGCATCCCTGCAAGCATTGTACCCGGCCTCCCCCAGCTCTATAAAACAGGATGAATTGGCCGATGTGAAAGGCCCTTGCTGTGCCAAGGTCCATTCCACATCATTCGTGGCCGTAGAGGACCGTAACATTAACGGTTGATCGCGTGGCTGGATGCGGACAAGGCTACGCTGTTACCGTGTCCTGCCCCGGGCGATTGCTGGTGGCGCCGTGTGGTTTTAGTGGGTATGCACAACAGCGTGTCCCACATAACCCTTCCACCAGGTCAACCATGCCGCGGGAGGGTATGCGTAACGCATTTCCCCACGAAAAAAATAAAAAAAAGTGGCTTCAGCGTGCGACTCTCATCCCTGAGGTCGTAGATTCGATCCCCGGCTGTGCACCAATGGAATTTCTAAGGGCTCATTTAACATTCGCTCGAACGGTGATGGAAAACATCTTGACGAAACCGCCATGTCTTAGACCCAAAAAAGTCGACGGCGTATGTCACTGGAGACTGATCACCTACTTGCCTATTAGATTGATAAATGATCATTAAACAGATTCAGAAATCTGAGGCCCAGACCTAAAAGTGGTTGTAGCGCCACTGATTTATTTTTTATCTGATACGTATTCCGCTGTTTACTATTAATTTTTTTGTATTTTTGTTTACCATCATTTTAGAAAAGATAGATATATAGTAATATCTATGTTCTTTTTGATAATTTTTCTTCTGCCTCGTAATTAGCTACTTCTTATATATATATATATATATTAATTGTGACTCAATTAACGTTTGGATTAGCTTTTAAATTTTTGTTTATACATATTATTTATTTATTTTCTTAAAATTTTACTTTATTTAATTTTAGTTACATGTTTTTTGAGGTTTTTTTATTGGTCCTTTTTAGGGTTGCCTGGAAGAAATCGCTTGTTAGCGATAAGGCCGCCATATACATATATGTATGATGTGCTAAATAAATAAATACATAGACCTAGGCACTGTCATCCTGTGATCAAACTGGATACCTCCTGGAGACTCCAGTTTCTTCTTCTTAATCGTTCTAGCACGTACAAACTTAAAAAAATGTGAGCCGTCACGGGACGCTTGGCAGATGTGAAACATCGACATTATTTTGTAAGAGTAATATGCAGAAAATAACAGATTGTGATAGGAACTAAATATGTCATAATGATTAAATAAAATATTACGATTTTTTTTCCAGATAACGATCACTATTTATTGAATAAACATTTATTTTCATTGAATACAAAAATTACGAATTTATTTCAAATCGTGACTACTTAATTCATTTAATCAGTGACTTCGAAATACACACACCGTACACACTACTGCATGTAGACTGTATATATATTTACCATCATATACATACATTTATCAGGCGACGCGTCGCCACGCCAGAAATTGGTTTTACGTGCGGCTATAGATGTTTCACATCAAAACACAATAGATCACCGTATATCAAAACTACAGGGAATTTCTATGAAGTCTAAAATTCTACCGTTAGAAGCTAACAATAGAACCTCTTGACACACGTAGAGAGCCCCTAAAGACGACTTGACACCGAAACGGAGATACGATGCGCTTTTAAAGGACTTTGAGCTTTTGACAGTGCAGTTTCTATGGGAGATGAGCTTTGTGTTACGATGTAAGCTTTTGAATGTAACTTAGTTTGTCGTGAACTTTATTTCTTTTTTGTTAAAGATTTGTCTGTTAACAATGAATCACTTCTTGTGCTAGTCTAATTATTTTTAACATTCCTTATAGTTAAACACAACTTTAAAAACGTATAAAGACTTATTGAGTACAGGTATTGATTCCATACATTTACATTTTAAACAAATTTTAGTTTTAGTCTGCAAAGCTACTTTAACCAAAAAGCTTTATTTCAAAGTTCATAACTTGTATTAACGGCTGAACATTTTGATCACTAAGGCTTTCTTAATTTTATAAGCGTGGCGATTTCCTAGCGTGGGAGTTAGGTACTACCCGAGAGTATAGACGTACTCTTCAACAGATACATTGCATTCATTTGCTTCATAGCAATTAACATTTCATTATTTCGCTTGTATTATATTGTTATTCGTGAGTGGTAAATTTAGAGTGAAATAAAATCCTCCTTTATTTAAAGCATAATGCCTAATAGAACCCTACATGTATATAGTTACAATACTTGAATTTAATATACGAATTTCTACAAGAATACAGCAAAATAATTCGTAATTATTCCGACCACAGAGTGAACATAAAATGGTCGAACGAAGTGCTATTAGCTCCGAGATTGGTCATAAAGCCGCTTCGTGGTTAATTTACTAGACTCTTGTTAAATTAATGTAACAAGTGTATGGCGTTTATTAAGTGGTATTATTTTATAATATGATTGCAATCAGTCAGTACGACTGAGGTTAAGTGACGCCGCCCATGGGCACTGACAAAAATTGAATTCCACAAGTGAGCGTTGAAGCAGTTTTTGCCGGGCACCACGGGTCCTTCAAGAAATGAGCGTACTCATTTTTAAAAGGCCGGCATCGCCCTCGCGATAGTTTATTGCCAGTTCTGCTGTTTCGTTCTACGCCCTTGATTTGAGAACTGGCAGTAAATGTAAAATTAGAAGCATTTAATGTATATTTCTTTTTTTGACGTTCATAAGTGTACATTGTGTTACCTACATGAATAAATGATTTTTTAATTTTGACTTTTTGAATGAAATTACTCCCATGAATCATTTTAAAAGCCAAGTTTAACACACATTAATTTCAATAAAACTTAATTTTGTATACTGTCAAATAGGCTATTGTAGGTAAATGGCAGAATATACTTAAAAGAAAACCAGAGTGGAAGTTGTGAGAATGAAATCCCTTTTGATTTTTTATTTTCTATATTCTGTGCTTTTATCAGTTCTATAGTCTTTGCGTTGATTGTTACAGAGTTGAGGACGAAGCTTCTTCACCAGTTGGCAAAGTCAAGTGAGTATCATTTAAAAATAAAATATTTGATCGTATTTATTATAATTATTTAGTTTAATTATTAAAAAATAATTGTATATTATTTACAATTTTCTTAACCTATAAAGTAATAATAATAATAAATAGAAAATTTAAAAAGTTTAGTCCCAGTGGCAGTGTACCTTTAATGACAGCATTTCCTCGCTGTATTTGAGCCAGGAAAGCACCAGCTCTGGGGTAACCGGTACTGTCTGACGCTAACTTAAATCTTTAATTAGCGCCTGAGCACTTGAACCCCACGGCCCAAGTCTCTACTCCAAAGGGAACAATATCGTTGTTGGGTGAAAGACTCTAATATAATTATTAGATAATTATTATTAGCCGTTTAATTTTCGCCTGTTCTGCGGCTGCCCCAGCTTTTTTGCTTGTCCGACGGTGGTGAGACGGGGCTTACAACTTACAAGTAGCATGCCCTACCAAAGCCCGTCCCATCCTCCAAAGGATCAACGACATCCCGGCAGCTAGCCATCATTATCAACATCATCTTGCATTTATTTAGACTTTACAATTGGTAGTTATAAGCCTTAACAATAATTAATCTTTACAATAATTCTATTTGTTTAATTTAATTTAAATGAGACATAACTAGTGCTATTCTTGCTTGCGGAATAGCATATAATATTATCTAATTCGATGTTTAGGAAGCTTTACTTAATAAATGTTGAGTTAAATTTATAAAAACTATAATTAAAAAATAACCAACAGAAACATTTACGAGTGAAATTAAACAGAATTTAAATAAATAATCTGACATTTGGTTGATAAATATATAAAACTTTACAGCGAAAAGTGCGGCCTTATCACGCCGTCACAAAATGGCGGGGAGGAATCCCCACCTCCAGAAAAGGAGAGAGCTGATCGTGAGGATTCAGAGAAGCTGCACGCTGCCGTGGGCCCGGTGCCCCACTGCGCTGAGGGACCGAATGATGACTTATACGCCATCCCTGTAAAGTTGAGGCCCAAGAAGGAGACTTTGCCGCCCGGTTGGGAGAAACATGAAGGTAAATAATGAAAGATGGAAGTGAGCAGTGATGCCAACTTCTACAGAACTTCTCTCTTCGATCTTGGAGTATTTTTGATATTTCAGTTGTAGCCACGCTTGGAGTTTTTATTTGGTTTAGTTTGATAAGTTTCTAGGCTTAATAGAAATTATATAGAATCGTCCAATTAAGACATAATAATTATTGCAAATAACCACGTAAAAATCCCCCTAAATACATCTTGATTCCCCCTAAATTTGGGGAGAAAACCCCCGAGTTGGCATCACTGGAACAGAGTTCTAGGTTTATTTTCTTATTTTTATTTATGGGTTCTTAAATCTAAGTGACACTTCTGTTACCTATAAAGAATTTAAGTGACACCTGTTGGACATTGGGAAACGAGAATGTTATATTATAACTAGCTGCCCCCGCAAACGGTATATTTGTGGTATATTTTGCCATGTATATTATTTCTAGGAAACATTTAGTTTAGTTTAAATAACTATAAAAAAAAATAGAGGTTGATCGTAGAGGGGTGACAATTAAGTGTTGTATGTAATTTTGTATGCTGTATCATAAAAAAATAAAAACGATAGCGAAAAGATTTGTCTAAAAAATTAAAATTAAGGGGTGGGACCACCCTTAACATTTAGGGGGATGCAAACGAACATTGTGACAAGAGAATTTTATACATATACTAGTAGACTCGGCCAAGCGTTGCTCTGGCTAAGATTTTTGTTATATTACATAGTAGTAAACTATTCAAGGGAAACGGTAGGAGAACTTATGTGAAAGGTAGATGACAGCTTATGTGAAACGTTGATAATTTTAACACAGCGCCATCTGTTAGAATTGTATCATATAATAAACAAATATTTTGCAATAAATTAAAATTGCGACTATAATTTGAGATTTAAACTATCCTATCTCTCAAGTTGGATCGAACTGGACATGGTGTGCAAATTTGATTGATATCGGTTCGGTAGTTTAAGAGTCCATTGAGGACAAACATTGTGACACGAGATTTATATATATTAAGATATATTAGATGAGTGTATGGGGCTAAAGGGCACTTTTATTACTAAAGTAACGTATTACAATTTATTGGCTACAAGTGTGAGTTGATTGTTAATATTGGCGCTTCTAATTATTAACATATATTTATTCCTTAACTAATGTTAGGGTACTCGAGTCAAAGGTTTTTTGAGGCATTGTCTGCCTAGTGGCTACAGCGTCTCACGTGAACCAATATGTGCATTTAACATTCGCTCCTACAGTGAAAACATTGTGATAAATGTCATGTCTTAGACCCAAAAAGTTGACGGCGTGTTTCAGGCAATTCGGCTGATCTTTAGATTACAAAACATATACAGAAAACCGGGGTTCCTATAACTTTAATATATAATTAAAAACATCTTAATTTACAGACAATGACGGTCCTTACTACTGGCATATAAAGAGTGGAACAATCCAGCGAGAGATACCAAAAATGCCGCCGATAGAAGCCAGAGAATCCCGCATTTCAATGGTCAGGGATTGTTCCAACTTGTCCGAGGTGAAATACGACGGTCCAATGACCACATCAGTCACCAGAAGTACGACCAGTGGCGCCCTTGACCAAGATGCTCAGGAGGCTAAGCGGAAAGAGGAGATGGCTTATAAGTTAGTGTATTATGAGATACTAATTATATTTAGAGAAAAAACTTTTTAACCGGATTAAAGTTATGTATTTTTATAAATTTACAATTATTTAATAGAGGACACCGTGAGCCATTTTTGCGAAAACCCTCTCCGGGAAATAAATACAGATAATGCAACTTTTTCTACAGCTGTGATACTTTTTGACATCCACCGTCTTCAGTCACCGTGACCATGCACCCTGTAAAGCACGCGAAACGTCGGATAAATTTAAAATTATGTTAAATAATTGTAAATTTATAATAATACATAACTTTAATCCGGTTAAAAAGTTTTTTTTAAATGTGTAAAGGTTATGTCAATAAAAGAAAATACTATACTAATTATATATTTGTGATTATTTCTCGGTAAATTAACCCAGGATTTGTGTTTGCATTATGACAAGCCAATTGGCTATAATTTAATTAAGAATATTTTAAGCTATTGCATAGATTTTATCGCGGTCTTTGAGCGCGGCGACCGAATCAAGAAATTCCGTAACATAAATAAAACCTAACACACGATGACGTAATGGGGTACTGCGCATTAGGGGCGACTAAAACGCGTTAGAGCGGGATAGAACGCATACTGCGTCTCACATCGGTCTGACGAGATCGGTGAAGCGTGCGCGGCTGGTGCAGCCGGTACGCGTTAGAGTGAAACAGACTATATAGGCGTGTTAGTCTGAGTCTGGTAGAGTGATATCAAAGAAAAAAACTTGAATTAATATCAAAGAAAGAGAATACTGCATAAATTAATAATTATAATTGCATAAGTTGATAAAAATGCTATGCAATAGCTTTCCCGCGGTGGTCCCCGAGTGCCACACCTTTTATTTATATCTTGGTATATTCGTAATATACTACTTAAGTATGTAGATAAACGAAAATATATCTCAAATATTTGGTACCCGTGGTCTAAAATGTTTCATCATCGGACGGCAAGGCAGAAAACAAAATACCATCCGTATCACCTCGACGTCCGTCGTTCCACAACTGAGCGTTTTAAGGCACTTTGCCACGCACTACTATTGTGGAACCAGATGCCCACTGAAATTTCCGAACCAGTTCGACTTAGGGTCCTTCAAAAAAAGAACGTGTCAATTCTTAAAAGGCCGGCAACGCACACGCGAGCCCTCTGGCATTGTGAGTGTCTAGGTATCACTTAACATCACATAGACAACATTTATTACTAACAAAAGCACACTCATAATAACAATAACCAAAGAAAGAAAAATATAATAATAGATAGCAAAAAAATTTCCCCTTTTCCCATTCGGTTCGTTTCAAGTTTGTAATGCGTGTGTGCTGTGGCTGTAATTGGCCCTGGCTCAGCATTATGCTGAGGAGCAGACTTTGACAGTTTGCCCCCTATATATTCTATTCTATAAATATAATCAAGCAATAATTTACAAGTGCGATTGAGGTAGTAGGAAGGTAGTACTTGCCAATAAATTAATTAAATAGACACAATTTTTTTTCGAAGTTATTAATAACTATAATATATTAAGAAATAATAAAATGTTTCAGACGCCGCAGCTATCCAGCCAGGCCAGAATCGGACGGGCGAGCTGTACGATTCTTCGTCAGGTCATTGGGTTGGGTTGAGATCTCTGAAGCTGACCTGACACCTGAGAGGTCAAGCCGAGCTGTCAATAAGTGCATTGTTGACCTGAGTTTGGGGAGAAACGATTTGTTGGACCAAGTTGGACGTTGGGGAGATGTAAGTTTAAAAATATTAATTTGATAATAAAATAATACCGTTGTATATTTTAGTATTTTTTGTAAAATATAACTAACGCACGCAAGTATTTAATTTTAATTAAGACTTATGTTGTCAAATTCAAATACAAAATCATGTAGGCTATGTTCACATGTAACGCGCGATCAAATTTGAAGAGAGTTCAGATGATGAGCGCTAATGCGCGTTGCGAGTGTACTCGTCAGTCTAGTTCTGTAGAACGTAGAAAATGGACGTGGAAGAGGCTATTATTTTGTGGTTATATTATAAAGAAAATATAGAAAAAGAAAACGTACACATTGGGTTCATCCAATTTTGAAAAATAGACCCAGTTTGTTATAAATATAATTACGAAAATTAACAAAATTACATGCGATCGCGATGAAAGCGCTCGCTCAACTGAACAGCAAACGGACATTACATTAATATCAAAGCGCGCGTCAATGCGCGATCACCTGCGTCTAGAGATATTTTCTCTGAGCGCCGCGTTGACGCGCGTTAACGCGCGCTCATGTGAACAGTTGTATGAAAATACCACAATGTCTAGTCGCGCGATTTGAAAACGCGCGTCAAGTTTTTGCCATTTGAACATAGCCTTATTCATGTAGGTAACACAATGTACACTTATGAACGTCAAAAAGAAATACATATTAAATTTTACATTGAGGTACTGGGGGCCTACCATGAACTCTTATTGCGAGCCTATTGACAACCTACAACTGAGACGCATCGCTAATTCGTACCATGACATCGAAAAAACGAGACAGTTTAGGTTCCCACGTGACCTTAGCGGTTATCAGATTTCGTTCGTTCAATTTGTATGAAAATCCGTACCATGACCGCTCGGCTGAACCGAAATTTGACAGTTGCGCCTTCCAACTATGACAGAATAAGCGATTCTAAAAAAGTTACTTTTTGTCCAACTTTTTTGTATCGAAATGTCCAAATAATAGTTAAGAACCTATAGATATATATAGTATACTGTATAGTATGTATCTACTATGTCTGTTTCGGATAATTTGAGGTATTTTGAGTTTAGAAAGTGTCATTATAAATTAATTATTAAAATATCGACGGAGATGAGAAACAAGACGGCAATGCCCTTCTACCTACTTCGTAGATATCGAGTTTATATTTTGCTATAGATTAACGACTTTGATTCGTTGAGGATTTTAGTGTACCTAAAAATAATTGCACAAGCTGTTCAATAATATTCAATTAATTATTTAGGCATGTCTAACACAAACATAATTCCCCAATATATCAGATTTTTATAATAAATAAGCTTGCCATATCAATAGTAGATATTTATTATAATTAAATTTTCCTCATTATGTTCATGATTTGATTGATTATCCTCTGCTTTTTGTTGTCTAAAAAAACATAGGTATTTTTATAACGTGTAAATAATAAGCCATTTGAAAATAATATAATAACAGTATTTATTTAGTAGATGACTCCATCAAGACAGAAAAAAGGTGTCTTCAGGCAATGTTCAATTGGATATAACCATATATTCATATATTTCATTCTCTCAATTCAGCGAGTTTGTCAGGTTTTAAGCTGTAAAGAAAATATAATTACATATTTATATTATATGAATTAGTTAACGTATAAACTAAATTTGTACAATTTGAAGGAAATAATTTTTATTATGATTTTCGAATATTAAGTTGATTTGTAATATCTTTTGCAAAGAGTTTTATCAGGAATTAACTTCGATATAGGTATTTATTTTTAATCAACAAATTTGTGAACAATACTTACCCCCTCATATTATTTAATAAGTGAAACAATTTGTAAAACTATAGTTATAAAACTGAAATTTTGTAAACACCAAAATATTGAAAGCTCCTATCAAAAATTTGACGGAAACGTTTAAAAATAATAAGTGTCCACTGTCATAGCACCAGAAAACTGTTGAAAATATATCAAAAGAGTAGTTTTATATATTAAATAAATAAATATATTAAGACATAATAGCTTATTATGATTGATGAATTATTGAAAACAATTTTATATTTTATTTATTTTTTATAGAAACATCTGTCAAAAGAAAGTTTGACAGTTAAATTTCAAAACTTACATAGAAACCTCAAATAAAATTATCGTTCTTTCATTCGGTCTTGCGATGCAAATACGTTTCAGCTTATAGGCGGTCATGGTACGAAAAATGCTATTGACTTTAGGTACCTAAACTCAACTGCATCTCAACTGGATTGTTTTAAGAAAGTTCATGGTAGGCCCCCTGTTCTTAAATCAAGGGCGTAGAACGGACGAGAAGAACTGGCAATAAACTCTCCGCCACTCTTTTTAATCGCCAAGTTTTTTGTTTTACACGATGTTTGTGAGGAGCTGCATCCATTACACCATGTTCCACATGACATCTTAAGTAACAAATAATAATAAAATCAATTAAAAACAAAGATTTGTCCCCTGTCAGCAGGAGGCATGGTGAAATAGGAGCACGCACATTCTCGTTGGAACAACACGCAAACACATAGTCGAAATAACTAATATCACCGCATACACGCATTCGATTTTAAATGGATATTTAATAATTCCAGGGTAAGGATCTCTTCATGGACCTGGATGACGGAGCCCTGAAGCTGATAGACCCTGAAAGCCTCAACACCTTGCATACACAGCCTATCCATACTATACGAGTTTGGGGAGTTGGCAGGGACAATGGACGGTAAGGTTATTTGCGGTTCTAACGAATTACATTAACGTTAATTATCTCGATAACTCGAATGTCAAGCGAAATGCAAAAAAAACGACTCTAATGAGTTTTCGACTTAACAAGAAAGTCAAAAATCATTTTATTCATATAGGTAACACAATCTACACTTATGAACGTCAAAAGAAATTTACATTAAATGCTTCTAATTTTAAATTTACTGCCAGTTCTTAAATCAAGGGCGTAGAACGGAAGAGAAAAAAACTGGCAATAAACCAATGAAATTAACTTCGAGATACATAATATGATTTAACGGTTGAAATTTCGACTTACAGAGGCACGATTTTAAGTGTATTTTTAGATTTCAAGAGTCGAATTTGAATAACAATTCAACTTAAGTTTATTGTATATATTTATTACGTATTAAAACGAATTACATATTATTAATTCAACTGTACTCTTAAAAAAATGTATGAATGTATTCATTCATTGCACGAGTCCAAATCAAAAACAACCACCAAAACCAAATTAGACACCCCAACCCGAACATTCACTTTAGATTTATTGCTATTATTTCGGGAATCCCAAGTAAAACGTCTTTATATTTTTCAAACTACGACTCACAGTCTTCTTTTTGAAATTCGAGTTATAATATGTATTATTAATACTTTGTAGGGAAATGATATTTTGTTCGAGTTACAAAGTTTAAATTATTCGAGATACAGCGTATTAATGGGTTCAGCGGAAGGGAATGGCTATTTTTTTCGACTTACTGAGGATTATAAAGATTCCATAGTAGTAGTTATTGAACCATGAAGTAACTGTTGATCTGCATGGTCATCGTCTGTTGTCAATGATTTACATGACAGAAGGCTTTTGTGCTATTCTTACTTGACTTAATGTCCTATTGCTCTCACATGGAGCAGAGGCAATCTCTCGTATTTCACCTCGCTCCAAGTCTTTCCGACTCTTTCCGTCATCTGCAACTGCCAGCTTTGCTTGGGAGGGCCACGCTTCCGCTTTCTTTGGGGTTCCCATCAAGCGCCTGTTTGGGGATATAATTGGATATCTCTTTAAAGTGCATGGCCTATCCATTTCCACTTGCGATTGATTTGTGGTCGGGGCTCCCAAAGTTGATAGTTGATCTCCCCGCAATATTCGGCGAAGGGTTGACGAAGACTTGAAGCCGGTGCGAGATGCCATTGTGATATAAAGTCCTATTAGTAAAGTGTTTTATTATTGTAATTTTTATATTATTTATAACTTTAAATATTTTTTATTCATTTATAATTATTTGTTATGCTCCCCTGGATCAGTGAACGGTATGTATTATCAGTAATATTAAATGTACTATATTAATACTATATATAAAAGGATAATATTAAGTGTATGTATGAATTAGTACACTTTGTCTACCATTTGTCTCTCATCTTCGCTATTTCCAATCTTTCCCCGCTATCCTTTATTTCAACTTCCCAGGTTTCTGGTGGTTCTTTTTCTTCCCACTGGGCCATTCCAAGTAACTCTTTGACTTATTTGCCATCGTAGACAATGTCCACTTTAAGTAAAAGTGTATGAATGTTGAATATACAACTAATTATATACTGTACATTTAGTATGTTTGCATGTTTTTCTAATGGACAAGTAGAGCGACAATTCGATAGCTGTCAAGTAGTTGTCAATATGATTGGCATATTTCGATAGGAGTTCCGAACACTATTACATGTCTTTGGTCCAAATATTTGATATTTTAGTATTATTCCTAAAGGTATCCATTTTATGAAAAATCTGAGATCCTAGGTTCGATCTCCGACTGTGCACCAATGGACTTTCTTTCTATGTGAAGGAAAACATCGTGAGGAAACCGGCTTGTCTTAGACCCATAAAATCGACGGTGTGTCAGGCACTGGAGGCTGTTCACCTACTTGCCTATTAGATTGACAAATCATGAAACAGATACAGAAATATGAGTTCCAGACCTGCGCCTGCGCCACTAATTTATTTTTATTTATAAAACCTGTAAAGTTTTATTTGTATATAATACAGAGACTTTGCGTACGTGGCACGCGACCGGGTGACACGCAAACACATGTGCCACGTGTTCCGATGCGAGGCCCCGGCGCGGTCCATTGCCAACACGCTGCGAGACATTTGCAAGAGGATCATGATCGAGCGCTCGCTGCAGCCTCCGCCGAGACCCACTGACCTACCAGCTGCCAGGCGGCCGAGACCACTCTCCGGTATTTAATAACTTCGTTATTATTAAAAAAGGGCGTGCGTAAAAAGTACACATGTCATTTGAGATTTCAATAAATTATTTTGCATAAAATATAAAATACTAATGTTTAATAAATTCTCTTAACGATAATTTTGATTATTTAGGTAATTCGCCCTTCTCGCTCTCTCTTAATCGGTCACAATCGTTCTCTCCCTTTTCTTCGACTAAAACGCTGCACATCTTCGTGACGTTTTTATAATGTTTTACCCTATGCGCCTTAAGAAGTTTCACTTCAAAAATCCAGGATTAACTTAACTCAGAAAATGCGTGTATCCTCCGACCGGAAGGACCAGGCTTACCACTGACTGGCCCGAAGCCCAATCTAGCTGTTGGTCAGAAGGGCTTTGAAAGCTCAGCTCAGGTTTGGCGAGCGTAGCTCTACCGTAATGGGCTTTTTCCCTTGACTAGCGCAAGCGTCTCCTGCGAGATAGACTGTTCTCTCTATGTGTGCAAAACACTAGCTCGTTCTGTGAAACCATCGTGAGGAAGTCGACATGCCTTCGACATGTGACAGGCATAGAAAGCTAATCTTATACTAGAATTTTAAAAAAACGTGTGTATACTTATGTACACGCGTTAGAAGTTATACTTCTTTGGCGTAACAAGCTAAAAATCTCTTCAAAATTTTTATTCTGCGTTTGTAGAAAAAAAGGTATTTAATACATTGAAAGTTTTATTATAACGCATTATCTAGTTAAATAAAGTTTATTTAAATATCACAAAAAAAATATTTCTACAAAATTAAAGAAATTGGCATTTTTTATTTTAACTTATAATATTCTTGTAGAAACATTGTCTAAATATCGTACAAATACAGCATCAATTTATAAAACTAAAATGTTGACTATAGCTAACTTCAGGGTGTCGGATTTTTGTGACGCTGTGCGCACGCATCGTAAACGTTACTTATCCTTTTTCCCTAACGCCGTAAAAGATATAACTTCAAAAATTAGCTTCATCAAAGGGTTTAATTCCAGGTGCCTCCTTCCCGACTCCAATGGAAGAGCCACGCAAGACAGTAAGGGCTCGTTATCTGGGCAGTGCGGAGGTCGGCAGACCCACGGGCATGGACGTGTTGAACGACGCCTTGGAGAGGTTGGCCGCCGCTCGGGCGCCTTCAGCCTGGAGGCCTGTCGCTGTCGCAGTGGCGCCCTCTTGCATCACCATTACTGAAGAAGGGGTGGGTTTTCTTGCGCTAGTCTTATTAATTATAAATTCTTTCTTTTATACAATCCATACATTACAAATACTTTCCAATTCATGTATAAGTAAGGAATACAAAAAAAAAATTGTTTTTTTTTTTAATTTCTCGCAGTGAGACATATGTCATGTAAGAGTACAAAATAAATATGAAACTTCCAGAGAAATAATATTTGTATATACAAGAAAAGATCTTACCAATTCTTTTTTTAAGAATTGGTAAGATCTTAAGGCTGGCTACGTATTTGCGAGCCTTCTGGCAATATGAATATAAAAAACACTTTTTTTAACGGATTTGAAGTAATTTACAATTATTTTACATAATTTTAAATTTAACCGACGTTTCGCGTGCCCAATCACTACATACGCTTTGACCAACCGAAAGTACTTGCGAAAGAAAAAAGCTTCTTCCCAAGATTGGTACGCGAAGCCATTTAAATAAAAAAAACACCCCAATTTCAATAGAGAAAACGGCCTAAAATTGTCAAACACCTGGGATCCAATAATATCCAAATTAAAATCTCAAGATAAACAATTCGCGAAAATAGAGGACACCGTGAGCCATTTCTGCCAAAACCCTCCATCTTTTAATCAATATCAACTCCGGGGAAATAAATACAGATAACACAACTTTTTCTACAGCTGTGATTGTATGTAAAATAATTGTAAATTTGTAACAAAACATAACTTCAAATCCATTAAAAAAAAAGTGTTTTTCTATGTCTAAAAGTTATGTCAATAAAAGACTATACAATATGAATACAATCTAAATATTGGAGTGTCTGAGTAATACAGATATATCTTTTTCTTCTTTTTATACTGAGAAAGATTTACAGCTTATAACTAACTAACTAAATATAAAGTTCCTTTTACGCCATTAAACAAATCTTAACATATAATAAGGTACTTAATAATTAAATGGGTGGGTAATAACATTATTGAAGTGAAAACTTCTTTAGCGGCGTTGTACGCTTATTTTGGAATGGGTAAAAAAATTTAAACTCGCGTCAGGACACGTGACCTGATCGAAAATTCGTAAGACGGATGGAGAGTAGACAGCTGGCGTATTTAATGTAATATAAATTGTCATGTTTGTGTACGATAGCGCAATAAATAAATATTTTATTATACCACATAAATAATAGTACTTTAATACTGATAATTAAAGCAATTCGTGCAAAATTATTCCCTAGCTATTCCAAAATATCAAAAATGCAGGCACTCCCGGAGTGCAACCCGTCGTTTTTTTTAAATCAATATCTATCAAAAAACTAAAAACGAACTAAAGTTAGTTAAGGAACACTTAGGGTAGTATTTCACTTATAAAAACTTATGATGCACTATTTATTTCACTGAGGAACTCGGATGTCAGAGCTGATCGAAGCTATTCTTCCACAGGAATCAACCCCGATCGTGGAATGTCGCGTGCGCTACCTGTCCTTCCTGGGCATAGGTCGCGACGTGCGCCGTTGCGCTTTCATTGTGCACACTCCGCAGGACAGCTTCGTGGCTCACGCCTTCCACGCGGAGCCGAGTTCTGGAGCACTCTGCAAGACTATCGAAGCCGCTTGCAAGGTGAAAGGAAATTTCAATTAATATTAAATCGTTTATTTGCAAAGGAAGTACATTCAGATTGATTATGTATACAAAGTCATTTATAACTGTTGTCAAAACTTATGGCCTAAATACACTCCCTATAAAGACACCTTGCCTTTAAAAAGGAAAGCATTACACGGCATTCTGGGAAGGTGATTAAATAGTTTGACAGCCATGGCGTAAACAATTTTTTATTAAAGGAAGCACCCACAATCGTGTTGGATCCCTCGGTAGATACAGGGATACTCAGTGTAGTTTCCAAGAACATGGTGAATGGACGGTCTAATGGTTGAAAAACAATCTGTTTAGTGCCGTCTTGGCAATGCAGTGTCGGCCGTGGCTTCAACGTGTGACTCTAATGAGGTCGTAGGTTTGGTCTCCGGCTGTGCACCAATGGACTTTCAATGTGCGCTTTTCACATTCGCTCGAACGGTGAAGGATAACATCGTGAGGAATCATGCATTAGACCCAAAAATTAGAGTGTGTCAGGCATAGGAGGCTGAGGAACTTGCCTATTAGATTGACAAATGATTATGAAACAGTTTCAGAAATCTGAGGCCCAAACCTAAAAAATTGTAGCGCCACTGGTTTGTTTTTAATTAGGTCCGTTTTATTATCGAACATGTTCTCATTGTTTCTTCATCCAATATATTAAATAATTAAAATAGAATAATTGCGCATTAAAAATTTTACATTGACATCGGCATGGTGCGTCATACTGATGCGACGCCATCTTGTCTAAAGAAGCCTTTTGGCGGGTTTTTGAGATTTATTTCAAAAATTAAATTAACTAAATTATCTTCTTCTTAGTAATGTTCAAAGTGAGCTTTCGGGATCGTTTGGCGCGCCGTAGAACTTCTTCGTTTGTGACTCTTTGGACCCAGCTTATCCTCAGCATTCTTCCACAGTCACTTATAAATAATCTGAAAGTGTTTTCAAAATCTTGTCAAATAGCTTATAAAAGATTATATAATGCATTATTCTATATATTCTGTTGTCATATTCACAATTAAATAATACATATAATTCTAAATTTTCAGCTGCGCTACCAAAAATGTCTGGACGCCCACGGTGGCTTCTCAGCCTTGGGCAGCTTGAGCAGCGTGCCGGGCGGGACAAGCAGCGCGGGCAGTCCGCCCTCCAGCGACGCGAACCGCGCTTCACTGGGGCAAGCTCTGAAATCGCTTGTTGGCTCGCTTACTGGACGACGCGCGTCTTGAATTTAGGTAAAACATTAAGGAGTTTTATCTATGGAAATTGGAAACCTTGGAGTACATAATATACAAGAACTCTTATTTATCTATACAATATTTTTGTAGGTTATTTCATATAAAAAAAATCACCATTGAAAGTAAGAGGAATGTCAGAAAATACCGAATAGAAGATTTATTTTTGCGTCTTCATGTCTTAAAAGCAGTAAGCGTGCGACTCTCATCCCTGAGGTCGTAGGTTCGAACCCCGGCTGTGCACCAATGGCCTTTCTTTCTATGTGCGCTTTTAACATTCGCTCGTACGAAGGAAAACATTGTGAGGAAATCGACTGGCTTTTAGACCCAAAAAGTCAGCGTGTGTCAGGCACAGGAGGCTGTTCGTAACTTGTCTTAAAACACTATACATAAGTAGTTATGTCTATTTATTTAGTAAAATTTTAGACAAATTAGAAATATCTTTATATAATTCCAGAATGCCATCACAGCGCAGCTCGCCACGCTAACTTATTTCCGTTAGATATTCGAAATAAATATAAGATATTTAAATGTTAAATTGTTACAATCGGATTTGTTTAAATTCTATGTTATATCATCATATTATCTGTTGCCTTCAAGACTGCCATTTTAGAAATTGCACAAACGTTTATTTCAAATAATTGTAACATCGTGTGAATCTATATATTAGAGAAACGTTTTAGTTCAACAAATTCACGTTAGATGGCGTTATTCACAAGACTAATTATCGACCTATTTGATAGTGCTTTCAGATACATATTATTCATAATTGGTGTATATTGGTGTACTTGATAATATGTAGCGTTTTATTAGCCCTTATATTGTGTCAACTGTCATGAAGAGGCAGATAAAGCTGACAACAATCGCAATTTTTGGTTTACATATTATCTGTTAGCTATTTGGAAGCACTTATGTGAATAGGTCCACGTATAGCTCCCACAAATACGCTTTTTTCTCTGTGTGAGCGTGTTTGCGGTTGGTCTAAATATAAACCACTTCGTATTGCATACATTAAATTTATATGATCTCAATATACACTTAAATCATATATTATAGTTACCTTATAATACCTAGTCGATAGTTGTATGCTTTTGTAAATTACGAGCGAAATAAGGTAAGTGACATTTTAAACTATTTATGTCGGCAAAACAGTATTTGGTCAATCAGTTAAGTATCTGTCTCGCTCTGTCTGCATACGGGTGATAGAGACAATGTAAAAGGTTAGTTGTACGGAATATTGGTTTGTAAATATATTAGATTAGTGTAGCTAATGGAACGGAACTTTGGGATGTGTCCAACCATAACGTCGTTTTGGTTGGATAAGCGAGCACGGTATGAAGAAATTACTCTAATCGAGTGCTGTCGTCCGGTTATAGCCGAGCGGCCGATCTGGAATCGGAAATGTTTGGTGTTTCATGTTGGATAAAGTAATATAGTCATAGTGAAGAGTTTATTTTTGCTTAAGCTTGTATATTATAAAGTATATTGGATTGCGAGAAATGAATATTTTTTGTATGTCGCATATATGCGTTGGAAATTAGCTTCAAAGTGTACAATTATTTTTGCCCTTTTTGGCTATACTATATTCTGCTAGCCTCCATACAAGGGTCTTGAAATCTGAGCTTGGATAATATTTATAAAGCAAATATTAGATTCTAAATATATGCCATGCAATAATAAACAAATAAGGAATAACTGCTCATCGGTCTTTGGAAAGAGACAGTCGAAATCGTAAAGCACTATCTCTTTCACCGTGACATCAGTTGTATTTGCGAGAAAGAGATAACGCATAAAGCCGAAGTTGGCTCTCTCTTTCTAACGGCCGATATGCATATATCGTCGAGTACCGAGTAACTTCATTGGATTCACGTTAACTATTGCGTTTACAGTCTACTATCAGGGCTTACGTGATAGTTTTCGTTTACCCGATGCTAATATCTAACGTCAACTGTCACGTTTATAGTTTACTTTCAACGTGATAGTTTTCGTTTACTCGATACATTATAAATATTCAACTGCATTGGAAAGCTTAAATTCAGGTCTAACATTTACTAAAATACAACTTGTAATATTTATTTGTATATAGCGCACGGGACCCAGAAAAGTCCAAATTATATACGTTTGTGTCTATAACAAAATAGTCTATGTCCAATCACAAAGGTCGTCACATTTAAGATCTGTGGGACTGTCTTGTCTATGATCGAATTGTCTCGCGAATTAACTCTGTGATTTGCGCGTAATGGACCAATCACAGCGTTGGGTAGAGATTCGTAAGTCATAGACAATACGAGAGCCGTGTTAGGTCTTAAATGTAAGGGCCATTGTCACGCGATTTAATGACCTTCTACCTTGCTTTGTGTGGTTTTCATTTGTAGGTTAAGAGTATTTAGGTAGTAAGGTCATTTTCGCACCTCTTAGATAAGGCGTTCACTAGAATATCACAGATTAGCTTCAAATAATTCAATATAATGTTGCTTGGATATCATATACACTATACGTCATAGTTTAATTCACGTTGTAATAAGATGTCATTGTTTTTATGCCCGCGGATTCCACTTGAACTTTTCTATTTGCCTGTAAAATTTGTCTTAAGTGCCAGCCGAACCAATTAAAGATACAAGTGCCGACAACACACTCCACCCATTGCAGGATCCCGTAACACAAGAAAATATTTAATTTTGACTGTCAGTTTTGACTTTTATCCGGCTCGAAGGACCAATGTATAATGGCAGAGGTTTTGAATAAAATCAACGTAGGCGAGTCCCGTTGATTGGCTGGTTTGATATATTCACTTATATAAAAATTAAATGTTAGTTTATAAGGAAGTTCAAGTGGAATTAGTTTTAATCGCGGGCCATAGTCGCAATAGTTGGTACAAGCTTGACTGCCTTTATCTGAGAAGGTTTACGAAGTATTTTCTACAGAATATAATCGTTTATATGTAGAATAGATAGCTTGATGGGTTATCGGCTCATGTTTGTTGAACGATGTTTTTGATCCGTCATCGCTTTGACAGCTTAAAAGCCTTCGATTGTGGCTTTTAATGAATAATTTTGTGAAATTAATAAAAAAATAATTATAAACACATTTGTTGTTTTATTTGTTATTCACCTTTATCAATGTCTAAAATAATTTATTCATATAACACAATGTACACTTATGAACGTCAAAAAAGAAATATACATTAAATGCCTCTAATTTTACATTTACTGCCAGTTCTCAAATCTTTTTAATCGCCAAGTTTTTTGTTTTACACAACGTTTGTAAGGAGATGCAACCATTACACCATGTTCCACTTGACATCTTAAGTAATCAATAATAATATAATAAATTAGAAACAAAGATTTGTTCTCTATCAGCAGGAGGCATGGTGAAATAGGATTAAATACAATTAGTATTAGAACATGTTCATTATTCACAATCGTCATCAGCCTAGAGGCTTTAATGTAATATAGATATTTGGTCAGTTTCTGGACGAAGGCCTCCTCAATATTCCTCCAGTACGTGCTACACTGGCCTCTCTGTATTCACTGGGAGCCAAACTCTTGGACGATGTCGTCAGTCTACCTAGTCTGTGGGCGGCCCGCGCGGTCTATCAGTGTCGGTTTTATTAATTTTCTAATACACTGTGAAGTTTGTGCCGCCCTCGCCTCTACAAATTCTACAATTGTCATGTCTTAGATTATTTTAACAATCCAATTGTTCGTAAAATAGACACTAATTGAGCACAAAATTATACACAAATCATCCAGTTCGCAGCCTCCGACCAGTAGTAGGACTTACATTTCATAAGTTGGTAGGGGGAAGAGAGAAATACATTTTCAACAATTTCGCTCTTTTCTTATACTTTAATTTATTTAATAGTTTTAAGATTAACAAATATATATAAAACGTCGTTTGTTACGAACTCCAAAACAGCGTGGTTTTTATGTTAAAATAAAAATGCCGCATCTATTCCGTTTGAGAACACTAACATTCGACGCATGCGCACAGGCGGCATTCGCTATCCTCGTCTGACAAATATGTTATGCGTTAACTCTCGTTCTACCTTAAATATTTATCATCTTTAACAGCAAGTAACCTTTACTTGCGGCCAACTAGGCACCCATATACGATAATTATTAGAAAAAAATTAGCTACAATTTGTTATATATTTAATAAATGTACGTTATGAACGTATAAATGTATCGAAATCATACCTGTTTAATACCTGGCTACGAAGAAGTGCGGTCAGGTGGGCACCCGTGATTTTTTAATCTTTATGTAAATTGCCGTGATTTAAACGATATTTTATTTAATTAACAAACATGTTTTCCCAAAAAACAATTCAAAATAATTTCATTAAAAATAAGTAGCGGCCAGATTTTGATAGGCACCTTGGTATATACATTCTCCTAATTATAAATATACATCAAAAAATATTTTTTAGCAAATAACCGATGAGCGCACTAATCCTGCAGCCGGATCTCGTATTAAGATTTCTAAAACAGCTTACAAGAGTTACACTGCAGCTAGGTGAGGGGTACCGGGTTCGATTCCCGGTTCGAGGGCAAGTTTTAATTTAATTTAAATTTGTTCTCGGCCTTTGGGAGGGTTGTGCGGTACCGGGCGAGTGCTTAAACCGTACATAGTGGACACTGTCAAATCTCTAAAAGACAAGCACGAATTATAAAAAATCCTATACTTGACGCTGTCTAATGTACAAATCGTGCCAGAGCCATTAAAAAAAAAGAGTTAAGTACACTTACCATGTACATCTCGTACACGACATCGGACACCTCAACGGCTTTTTATATCGGATGTTAAATAGGCTTCGTGTACAATAAAACAATAAAGTCTTTATAAATATTTATTCATACATTGGACATAATTTGGAATTTATAAATGTACACGAAACATTTGATTGCAAAAATAATTTTGCCCTTTCCATCTCTAGACTAGTGTCTCATACGACAAGGACGGCTATACCTTTATAAGCTATAGCTATCCTTGTCCACAATACGAATACAGCGAGACAACAGAGTCGGATAATTCATAGATTTTTTAATATATACTCTTTTCAGGGGATTGTGGAGAGAAATAATTTGGTAGGGCTGAATTATTATACAATAAGCATTATCAACTATTTATATATTTTACTATCTGATAGCAAACATTTACAAGATCGTACTACTTGTCACATTGGCCACGTTAATCTGTCAACTGTCAAAAGTGTCATTCAGTCACAACATCGTTTTTACAACAAAAAGGATAAGGAATGCCACAATCTGACTTTTGTCAAACTTCATACAGCGATGACGTTGACATATCGAAACTTTAATATCTGCCATAGACTAGATATAAATATAGATTATTCTTTGTTCACAGACTGCATTCTTTTCTCACAGTACAAAGTATAGATTTGATTATTATTTAAAAAGCATTATGCGACAGCTCTCTCTTGTTACGCCCACTAAGGGCAAGTTAGGGAAAAATCAAATAGGTTTCCATCATTTTATCGTGGCCAAAGACACATTCTAATCACAATCTAAGTCACTACGATGTTTGTACAATTTGGATCCAATTAAACTATTTCTCATCCAATAGTAAATTTCGCTTAAATGTGTTTACAAAGAATTTCCATATATGACATGAAAAACATTGAAAGTAAAAGTTCAAATAACAAACCAAGAAATAGCTACGGTCTCGAGTTGAAGGAATTTTTCGCTACAGCAGAATTGTGAATTTCCAGAATAATCTCCTGATAATGTAACAGGTAGACACTCCATGTAAACACATTTAAATGAAATCAAGTCCATTTAAATTAATAAAAATCGTTGAATACAAATTGAAATAAGTTTCCGGACACACACGAAATGATACAATGGCAGTGTTTAGGCCACTTAATGATTGAACACATCAATAGCATACATGCTGTAACGATACAAAACATATTTTTGAATATCTTAAATTTTCTTGAAAATTTTTGAACCGCTGCAATGACAAGCCAGCTGGGACAACCTATAGACTTTTTAACATAAAATTTCTGAGCCATTTATGTCTCTTGTGATAAATAAAACAAAAAAATTAAGTTTTTATGAATGGCAACAATTTCTATAGGCAGACCTTGTTGCCTATCGTGACTGTCCTATAGGATATACCTGTTTATACAGATCAAGCTAAAACCAGATTTTATATTTTTTAGTTTTGTCATTGATTTAAGTATTCCAACGTGTATCGATAAGTCTGATAAAAAAAGTTATAATACTTCAAATTAGTGGCGAAAATAATTATATTAACAATCTTAAAATAAAAGCAACTTGTATCGATAGAATACCAATTTAGGTTTTTTGGTCCTTCAAGCCGGAAACCAATGTACTGACGGAATTTTTAATACTTCAGTGTCTATACAGCATCCAGCAAGGTTTCTACAATATTTGATCCATGTATTTTTGACCAGAGATAAAATATATTTAAAAAAAAAACACTAAAATGAAATCATCTTCATAATTTCTTCGATTAGGAACTTAATTATATATTTCGCCAAATCTTACATTCAATTACATAAAAAATATTTAACATGAAAAGACTAGTAAGACTGTTTTCTTAAAGGTCTCTAGAGACAGCAACATCTGAGCAGAGCAATTCAACATTTTTTTTACAAAGAACTGATTGTTAGTGGAATCAAACAGACACTTTAAATATAAATCAACAGGGGTTTGGGAAAAGCACTTGTAACGTCGTGTTTTTCTTCTGAAAACCATAAAAAATTTGGGCAAATAAATCTCCCTGACTTCAGTATTCACTCCTTGGTTTGACGCAAGTTATATTTCATAGTCATTGAACAGAAGTGTATATTATGTAATATGTTCCTGAAATCTTAGGCGAGCAGTTCATGACATATACATAATTAAGACTATATTTTATATCCTCACGTAGTCAACCTGTAAAAAAAAAATAGTTTAAAAGGTGTTAAAAAATACACGTCGAAATTTTTGCAATAATCATTGAATAAATCAAACGCGCTCATTTTACGGTAACGATTTGACAGTTATATGTCATTTGTGACAGTGACTTTTAACTCCGATATTCCTTTCGATTAACTTTAGTAAAATTTAAACAAGTTTAAAGTATTACGTAACCAAACTAATTTGAAGAGGAAAAATTATTTACGATATACGAAAAAAGGCATATATTCTTTTTATATAAGCTGAAAGGTAAACTAACTAAACAGAATCATTGATAGGCGCACGCGTTGACCATGAACCGAATTAGCCAAGTTCAAGGTAACTAAAGCAAAATTTACGAAGATATTTTCAATCAGTTATTTTCTCTTATAAATGCATTTTTTATTTACTATAAATACAGATTAGTAATATATTACGGTATTATTAAAAAATATATTTACTATTTACTTATATCACTTGTTAATTGTCAAAGTGACAATTGTTAGGCGGTAAAGTCAGTTTTAAATTCATTGCATGATAAAATTAAACGGCTTTTAATCATGCCAAATTGTGTATTAAATTTGACAAGTTGGAAATTCGACCACAGGCCCAAAAGACTTATCCTCGTCGCGAAAAAAAAAACTTACCATTAACAGTGTTACATCCATCTATTTCTTTGAAAGAAGTTCGTTCTGCGCTGGAACAAATTACATTTCTATAGAAACCCATCGCAGTACAGACGTTAGTTATAAATACGTTTAAGCCAACACAAAAAAATCCAAAAATTTCTCAGTTTATATGGATGAACATGAAATTAAATTCATAGAATATAGAAAGTACTGAATACAACACCAACGGTACTCAGAATTGTTGATAAAGAGTGGCTAGCCAATTAGCGTAGTTAACGCTATAGATAATAGGATCTAAACATTTTATCGAGCCTTAAACAAAAATATTAATCCTTAAAATGTTTTCCATCACTTCTTAAAATTTAAAACAGCGTATTAAATCAACAACTCCGAGTACATCTACCTAACGCCCGGTTCCAATAAACAGAAACCACTCGTAATTTCTATATCTCTGACCATCTAGTTTGGTTTTAAAGCAATTAGTGAAAGCTATATAGTAAACATTATTTTATACATTGACTTTTTAACTCGCTTTTTAAACACATTTTTTTTGTGACACGCTTTCTTCTGTCTCACCCACAAAACGGGTATGTAACTATACATATGTATTGTATATATATTTCTTTACTTTAAAGGGTTCCCAAATCTTACACATACTGAATTGTTGTCAAATGAATAAACACATTTTTTTATATATATAAGCGAAAGCATTTGTTCAGATTTTTTGTGTTGTAAAGCCGGCTCCACACTCTCGCGAGGCGAGTCGATACCCTCGCCACGATTGAACCATCCACACTCTCGGTTTATTTAGTTGCTCGCTACGTTTACAAGATGTACGTGATTGGAGTGACTGCTATATGCATTGCCTTTATATCGCAAATATACATTGAAAAAATGCCACCATGCTGGTATAAATATAATTAAAAAGGTTTTCTTTTTTGGTTTCTTGATTCACCATTAATTGATTTTTTTTTCAGTTTTTAACTTTTATTCAATTTTTTGATTAATCGATCCCACTTTTGGATTCCAAAGGATTTTTCCATTTAATAGAATTCAATAGCCATACACAACTCGTTACACCAGTCCGCCATAAGAAAACGCGCGCGTCCGAGAGTGTGGTTGATGCTTCCGTCTCGCAACCCGTCCTTTGACGCGCTCCAATAACCGACAAAAAGCGGAGCCGCACCAAGGCGAGGGGACCCGAGCGTATCGACCACACCGCGCTCGCGTCCCCTTATGTCGCCTCGTAGAGTGTGGATTTGTTTAACATTTTAATTAGACGAATCACAATCAAACAGAACACGACCCAGGTCATTTGACAGGCCTGAAGATAACGAAATAAAAATCTTGAGATATACAGTGTACATTCTTTATAACGAAGTTCATGGGACCGAACATTTTTGTTCGTTTTAGAGAGGGAAGTGAAACAAAAACCAATTATAATAATTTCTAATTTTATTACAATCAATAGGTAAATTATTTTGTTTACTGGCGATCTGTCATCAAAGTTAGTTTACGGCTAATACACGATAGGTGACGATGGTGCGTTTAGTAACTGATGCCAAAATTTCCAACAGGTAATGTAATCTAAGAATAATGGCACACGTGTTAGTGGAATAAACAATAACAAAGGCGAGACGGCTGTTTATGACCTCGGATGTCTTTCTTAGCAATTTCGGCAACTCAAAAGTTAGTTTTGTAAGCTGATTATAAAAACAATTACGCTTACGTTGTTGATGTCTAAATTTAAAAATATTTCTTCGTTATAGAGAATCGTTCTTACGTTATAAAGAGTTGATTAATGTATAGGTTTTGTGTTAAACCAAACAAATGTAACTAATTTTTACGTTATAGACACGTTTTCTTTATAACGAATGGCGTTATAAAGAGTATACACTGTAGTAATAATTAAATAATAATTGAATGTCATTGAACGACGTTTCGAATACGTTTATTCGGTATTATGTCATAGTCTAGTCGACAAGTTGAAAATGGTACAAAATAGAGATACTGCTCTTAAAATTATGTGCGATAGCTCATTGGATCCGGAACGACGTCTGGAAAAATGTGCCAAAAGCGTGTATTAGCACATAAAAGATTGCAAAAGTTATAAACAATTAAAGATGAAAAAAAATGGCATTTCGTTTTTTGCCTATATTTAATAAACTATTAATATTTAAGAAATTTCAAAAAAAGATTCTGAAATTTCCAATAAAAAACTCCTAACTCCCGGAACTCTATCTCTATTATTTATAATTTTAATTTAATACACGCGCTTACACTACACTAATACACGCTTTTGGCACATTTTTCTAGACGTCATTCCGGATCCAATGAGCTATCGCACATAATTTTAATAGCAGTATCTCTATATTGTACCATTTTCAACTTGTCGACTAGACTATCACCCGTATGTCTAATCCAATACGTTTTTGACATTCGGGAGTGTATAAATTTATGAATCTGATTAGTGTGTTATGCTTGAAAATTACTTGTAAGCAATGATAAAATTCAGAGGTGTCGAGAGCAATATTTTCTCCAATAGCATATGAATCTGTTAAGATTTTGTTTATGGATGTTTTCTTATATAAAATAGACAATATTGTTTCATTATTGCTACAAATTCATTCAGGTAAAATAATGTTCAGCATTCTAAGATTTTCCTCCTAAGGGAGCGTTCAAGTATTACGTCACGCAATTTTTGGAGATTGTTATTTAATCCCCCACCCCGCATCGTAACATTTTACGAAACTATCCCCCCTTCCAAAATTCGTTACGTAATACTTGAACGCTAACTAAATCAGAATTATATAAATCAGAGCTGAAGTTGGACAACGATAATTTTATATTAAATAATTGCAATAGCATACACGGACTCTTCCAAAATATAACTCCAAAAACAGGAAATGTTGCGAAAACGAGCACGCACGTCCGTAAGTTACCAGATCTCATGTCAAAGCCCTAACTTCACAAATACACCTTGGGGGTATGGCAAATTATTAACAAAAAGTAAAACAAACTTTTATTTTTAGAATATGCATTGAGCAGGTATGTTTTATAAAAGAAGCTAGGCAAAAAGTACATTGTCCCATTACTTGACCATTCCCCCAAAAATTCACGGATCAGTGAGGCCGATCCGTAAAGCCGGCAAAGTGCCCAGGAAACCCGCAAGTGTGTTGCCGACCTTTTAAGAATTAGTACGATCTTTTCTTGAAGAATAAATTTGGCTGGTTCCACATAGTGGTGATGCGCGGTAAAAACTGCCTCAATCTAAATGAGTTTACAAAAAAAAAAAAAAAAAAATGTGTGTACTTATCACGCGTTAGAAGTTATACTTTTTGGTGTAACAAGATAAAAATCTTTACAAAAATTTTATTCTACGTTTGTAGAAAAAACTACACTAACAATAGAAAAAAATTACTCTCATCATTTTTCCCTAACGCGCCAAAAGAAGTATATCTTCAAAAAGCTAAAATGTTGACTATAGCTAACTTTATGGTGTCGGTTTTTTGTGACGGTCTGCGCGTGCATCGTAAAAATGTACTCTCATCATTTTTTCCTAACGTGCCAACGTTATACTTCTAACTTCAAAAGTCTTATAAATTCCAACCTAAAGTTCTGGTAACCACTGAAAGCAAAAATCGTTGCAGAACAATCGATCATCCTTAGCACTTACTATGACTCTTATATATCAAAAGCCTTTGGTTGATGGACAAAAAAGAGTTTTAGTGGTGAGTTGATTCGTCAATCCGGCTCGAAGGACCACAAAATTTATAGTTTCTCGGTCATCGGAGTGGTTTACATAAAGTGCTTTAACCACTCGCAACTATAGAAGAAATGTGAAATAATTAAATGTTGATTGCTATGAAACGAATGTTATCTAAATATTGAAGAGAATGCATGCCTCGAGCTCTTGGGGGGGTAACTTCGACGATTTAGGTAATCGCAAGGGTTTCAAAACTAAGAAAGCTTGAGTGATAAGGTACAGCCTGTACCTCGTACAATGGTGTACACCAAGGAGCAATAGCTGAGCCACTCTCTCTTTTTCTTTCCAAGGGACTGCTAAACTTTTATTTATGTTTTCAAGTTCCGCCGTGGAATATTTTATTTTGTAAAACTGTAAGCTGGCACAATATTTCCGGCAGCGTCAAGAACCGAGTGTATACAGTAAACCCCCAGTAGACCCGGACCGCGTTATAGGAAATCGCGTTGTAGGAGTATTCTCGTAAAACCTTTTTGAACAATTAAGTAAATAGGAACACGAATTCAATAAAGTTTTTTAAATATACAGTACACACTTGAGAAGTCTTCGCGTTATATGGGTACCGCGTTATAAGGAGTTTACTGTATTACCTACGTCTCTTTACTCAAACTTATTCAAGAAATTAGGCTGATTAATGATTAATAGCGATTGTCCGTCACCATTTGATTACTCCGTATACAAAATCTTAACATGTGCAACCATATCCGTACGTGGAAATACATTAGGTCTCGACCGCCTAACCACTTAGGTTCTATTCGTCAAAATATAAATATGATTTTGGGAATTTCTTCTTTGTCATAGAGAGCGTTCAAGTATTACGTCACGCAATTTTTGGAGATTATTGACCCCCCCCACCCCGTGTAACGCGCCGTAACGTTTTTCTGTACCCAATAGTAAAACGTTTCGTGACCACCTAGTGACTCTTTATACCCAAAAGTTACCATTATGTGGTGTAAAGTACTGGAAAGTCAAAAATAATATTAAAAATAACGCGTAATTCAATCCCCACCCCGCATCGTAACGTTTTACAAAAGTCCCAAAAATTCGTTACGTAATACTTGAACGCTCCCATATCCATTATCATTTTATAGCAGATTTATTAAATTAAGCTGTCAAACAAAAAATTTAATAATTTTTGACAGTTAAATTTGTGTTTAATATAAACCAGTTTTTCCGGGTTGTTAAAATTTAATATGTATCCCGCAAGCTACATTGACGTAGTCTGAGCAGTGTTTAAATAGCCGAGTGATTAGGCGACAGAGACCGCGTGTGCTCAAGCGAAACTTACAATTTATTTTTATTTTCCGAATCGAACACAGTCCCGTTGAATTGCTTGGAAGACTCGTTCTTGGCTGAATCACATATTACATAGTTATATAAATTACACATAGTGGTGGTGCGGGGCAAAAAGTACACTATTTTTTTTTAATTATCCAAAATCAATTATTTTTATATATTTAAGGTTAAAACGCTATTGTATGTTACAAAATATTTTATCAAGACAATGATAATACAAAAAAACCTTTTTTAGAATCTCTTCTTAACAGAAGAACTTCTGTTGAAAAACATTGTTCTATACATACAGTACTAATATTGCTATTAAATTTGGTTTGTGGTAATTTAATGCAAATTATAAAATATTTTTTGGAGTGGGCTACCCTTATTAATTACTAATCAGACCTACTTATAAAATAATGAAAATCGATCAAGCCGTTTCAGAGTAATAATCAATTATTTAAATATGTATCAACAAAAATATTTCCATCTCTTTTCAACACACACGGGAAGAGATTTACAAGTAGTTTAGTATATTCACATATTTTTTTTTAACTTGGTAACAATTTGTTAAGGCCTTCAGAAAATCCAAATGTTATATACATTGTTTTTTATTCCCGAAATAAATATATGATTTTCAAGTGGAATACACAATATTAAAATCAATGATATTAAACCGGGAATACTATTGAGAATCAACAATAAATAATACTATTTACATATTTATATACAGGATATAGATATATATATAAATAATCCAGTTAGCCTAAATTTTGGAAGACAAACACTTCTTTGGATTTTTTGAACTCGGTTAAAATGAACATAAGTTAATTCACAATTAAAATCTATTACAACAAAAATATTAATTTCTTGCAAATTCCCAATTTCAATTATTGTAAAGCAATCATTTCGAATTTATTATGATTTTAAATACTTTAATTCAACTCACCATTTGTTATCACACCACCAAAGGAATTGAAGTTTACCTTTTTCTGTTCTTGTGAATTCTGAAAATTATTATTAAAATCATTAAAACAAACAAATAATTTACATGAATTAAAAACGTATACAAAGATGCACCAATATTGTCAAAAAGGCTTGTATCCATGCTCATGAAATAAATTCATAAAAAGTATCCATCATTATATATATATATATATATATTATATACCCTGAATGTATAAAAATAGCAAATTAACAATAAAAACAGATTAAAAACACGTTGAATTAAGTTTAGCTTCAAGAGGGAAAAAACAAGTCCAACGTCAGGTACTTCTTAAAGGAAGTCAAAGGATTTTTGTATTAAAAAAATATTATCGCCTGATATTCTATTTTTATTGATAAAAAAGTTGAAAAGGACAAAAGTAGCCAAGACTAAAACGACTGCCATTACTTTTCTCTTCTTGATCTATGTATGATAGATTTAGCGGAGGTGAAGGAAATCATATGAGAATTGGCATGCTTGAGAAAAATCTGTTCCATAATCTTAACACCATGAGTTTTAACCACTTATCAATACAAATGCTTCTACAACTTCTAACCTTTTCCCTTCCTTTTCTATAATAGGCATGTGTTCAGCCTTCTGACACATTAATATTTAGATCAAAAGCAAATCCTCACACTGTATTTTCTATCTTATAGAAATCTGAGGTCAAAACCTAAAGAGGTTGTAGCGCCCACTGATTTTTTATTTTATTTTTTAAACCAAATTCATAATTAGTTTAAACAAATCTTAAAAATCTAACTTCGGAACCAAATAACAGACATATTTGCAGAAATTCATTACAATAAGACATTTATAAAATGAAATTGAGTCGGGGTCAAATTTATTTTTGTTAGAGTAAAAAAAATGTGATAGTTGGGTCTGTTTGACAGTAGCTCTAGACAGCAAATGAGTAGATGCTTCCAATGGGAAGCCACTCTACATAACAGGACCATAGAACACATTCGATCATAGCTTTAGGTCTGATTTCAAGTACGAGTAGAAGATAAAAAAGTTGAGGTCCACAATACGATTGGTAAGTTTTTTAAATATCGTTAAACATGATTCAGCGGAAAAGTGTTTAGCAACTTAGTTTATTGGTAAGGAAAATATAAGATGTCAATGTCAGACAGAACTATAAGTGTTGTGCTAAAGCTTAGGTTTGCTAGAAAAGCGGTGCCGGTTAAGTTACGGCCGTCTTTACTTTTACATGATGCAAAAAATCAATCATTTTCGCTCGTTCAAGTCACGTTTCCACGTATGGTATTAATTAAATACCGCTACACGGGAAAAACGTTCAATTTCTGTATATCACCGCTATGACGGCCGTCATGCAAATGACAGCACCGCTATTTGACGTTACGGTGACACTCAACGTTCTCTACGATGTTTGGTTCTTGTTACACACTCCCTCTAGAGGGGTGTGTTTTGGCCCGTTCGGGGCATATGCCCCCTTCGGGTGGTGTGATGGTTCGCGCCCTGCTAATACAGGGCGGTACGGGGTCGCACATCTAATCCTAAGTAGGGGCTGTAGCGCGCGAGGAGACGTTGGCCTCAACTCGCTGCGCGCAGCCGATGGGGAACGTTCTCTAGGAAATCTCCAATGTTATTTATAGACAACGTATGGGTGACATCACCCAACGCTACATTACGACCGTTATATAACGGCACCACTATTCTAGGAAACCTAAGCTTAACTTTTTTTTCATACCAGGAATTTTCAATAAACTAATTCTTAATAGGCAAGTCGGTGACCATTTGTGTAATGTGGAACACAAACAGGTTCCCTCATAACACCCACAATAACCATACATTGGTAAATAAAATCCAAAAACTACCTCGGGGTTGATAAAGGAAAATGCGTCAAATATAATCAGGAAATGTGTAAACTATTAATATTGTCACATCTTAATTAGATGTTACGTTATTTAAAAAATGGAAATTATCAGTTTAATATACATAAGTATCTGATTGGAATTGGGAATTGGAATTCGATTTAGCCTTCCGAGTATGTGTTAAATTTTGAAGTATGTTTGTCCACAATATTTTCACTAAAAGTTACAACAATATGATCTTAAAACTTCAACTTAAGATAATGTCCCAATTTGTGGGGTTATCCAAACATTTGTGTATTGGACCTGGATTCAAAAGGTTGACAGGTACTTCAAGTCGGTTAATGTTTTATTTTAGTTCTATCAACGTGTACCACTAACACTTGCTCCTACAGTGACGATAAACATTATAATACTAAAATCTACATAATATGTCAAGTACATTATTAAGTATAATAATATATAATATATAAGTATAATATATAATAATATATAAGGGTCGACCAAGACATTGTAACTCCACCACTCCATCAGTAAAAGAACAATCAAACAAAATTACCTCCATCTCCTGCAAATCCTTCATGAGCAGCTCGAACTCTTGCTTGGTAAACTCCACACCTTTCACTTTATCCGAAGGCACTTTGTCACTTTCACTAACACTACACTTCTCTTCCGTCACTTTGTCCTCGATCACTTCTATATCACTACTGCTGTCGTCCCGGGCCTCGGCCAGGGGATCCACGTCGGAGACGATCAGCACCTCTTTCTTCTTCTTCTCCGGCGGTCTCTTGTCCGGCTTCGCAAAGTTCACGGGTATCAGAATCGGATGCGGGATGTATTTCTCCAACGTCTTCATGCTCTCTATTTGCTTCTGGGTGACCTCGTCCTTCTTCACCATGTCGTTGAGGGCGGCGGGAGACTTCACTCGGATGAGGCCCTCTTTCTTCTTCACGGAGACTTCCTTTTTGTCATTGGCTTGAACTGCCTTCCTGTCTTTCTCCGGTTTCTCTATCGGTTTGATGGTGGTCGTGGTGGTCGTGACGGTGAGGGAGCTGGGGAACTGAATGGGTTCACTAAGAATTTGTACGGGTTGGGGTTGAGACGTGGAACCGAAGGCCTGACGTTTGAGATCAGTCGCTTTGATGTCTTTGTTGAGGCTGAAATGGAGATGTTATTTATAATAATAATATTTAAAGAAGTAACAAAAAAACAGCAGTGTTGGCCTAGCGGATTCAGCGTGCGACTCTCATCTCTGAGGTCGTCGGTTCGATCCCCGGCTGGACACCAATGGACTTTATTTCTATGTGCGCATTGAACATTCGCTTGAACGGTGAAGGAAACCACCATCTCGCCTTAGACCTCTAAAAGTCGACAGCGTGTGTCAGGACAAATGATCATGTGACAGATACAGAAATTTGAGTCCCATACTTAAAAAGTTGTAGTGACCACTTATTTTTTTTTTAAAGAAAATAAACATTGTTGTTTACATATATAATATTAAAATAATTGTATCTTATTGAAGTTATACTTCTTGAGGCGCGTTATGAAAAATTGATGAGAGTGAAATTTTACGATGCGCGCGCACCGTGACACAAAATTAACAGAATGAAGTTAGTGGCCTCTGTTCACTGTGTATTTATATTTATAATATTTATCCACATGCTTTGAGTTTCTACATTTAAAACACGTGTTTTCATTTTGTTTTAATTATACAAGTGCGAATTTTATATGTGCGTCTGAATTATAATCAGAAGTGATTTAAATTGAAATATTTAAATCAATACTTATAAATATTAGAAAATAATAATAAATATTTATTTATTTAATTTTTCAAATGTAAACTGAACTTTATTGACTATAATGACTAATTTTCCAGTTTTTGATTATTTCATTGTAATTATTGCATGCAATCAAAATCTATTTTTAATAATGCCAAAGAAGTATAACTTCTTACGCGCGTACATAAGTAGACGCACCCTTTTTTTTCATTTAGTTTTAATAAATAATTAAGTTGTTTCCCATATAATCCTCATTATTATTTACAAGTTTAAATCAAGTAAAAACTCACTCAGCCTGCCGCAACAAAGTGGGCATCCGGACGAATCCCGCCGGGAAGAGGGGCAGAGCTCGTTTGGCCAGGAGCGAGGCCGCGTCCGCCGGGCTGCCCGCGACTTGGCCCAGCCTCGCCAGCAGAGCCCTGCTCAAGGGGCACCAGGGGAAGCGGCGCTTGGGCAGCCGCTTGTCCACGTGGGGCATGCCGTCGACCGACGCTATTTGGAGCTTTTTCCTGAAAACAGTTAATATAATAATAATAAGCCTTTTTAAGCTATTGCATAGATAAATATTATTTTCGACTTTCCAGTACTTTACACCACATAATGGTAACTTTTAGGTATAAAGAGTCACTGGGTGGTCACGAAACGTTTTACTATTGAGTACAGAAAAACGTTACATGGGGGGGGGTGTGTGTGTGTGTGTGTGTGTGTGGGGTAATAATTTCTAAAAATTGCGTGACGTAACGCTCCCTTGTGTAGACAATTTCCAGGTCTGGCTTCCATAAGTTAAGCTGGGTAGTAGACATGAATTCAACTTTAGCTGTGAGAGATATTAGTAAGTTACTCTTAAATATTAATAGAAAACAGTTAATAAACCAATAAAAAATTTGTTAATAAATCAAATCTTAAATAAAAATTATTTATTATTATTATCTTCCCTCCAGAAATGTGTATATAATATCAAAAACTACTGAACCGAATTTAATCAAATTTGGACTTTAAGTTGGAATATATGGATTTAAATTAACGGTACAGCGCGGTTAAAATATTCATGTTACCAAAAATAAAAATAGAAAATACCTTTCTTCCTGTACGCGTTCACATTCCGCGTTATACGTGGCTATCATGTCCGGCTTCCTTTCATCTATGAGCGCTTTTAATCTGAAATTTAATACATTAACTTAATTATTACATTATTAAAATCAGAGGCAATATCGGGGAAATGGTGGGGCACCCTAGATAAAACCCTAGAACCCCTACAACCCTAGAACCCAAATCGAACTCTAATTTTATTATCAACCACTTGATATCACCAATAATTTTATTATCAACCACCTGATATCACCAATAATTTTATTATCAACCACCTGATATCACCAATAATTTTATTATCAACCACCTGATATCACCAATAATTTTATTATCAACCACCTGATATCACCAATAATTTTATTATCAACCACCTGACATCACCAATAATTTTATTATCAACCACCTGATATCACAGACAGGTAGACACTTTAACTCGAATGTTCTAATGAAACAAGAGAGTAAATGAATAATATAGTGACGGGCGGGAAAAAAATATGAAAATTAAATTAAGTTTTATTTCCTAGTAAAAGACTAACGTTATCATGGCAACGTGATTACCAACGAAACAGATTGTATAAATATCTGCAGCCACTGTTGATCCGTGACCAGTAAATAAAATATAATAAATCAGTGACGCTACAACCTCTTTCGGTTATGGCCTCAGATTACTGAATCGGTTTCATGATCATTTTTAAATCAAATAGGCAAGTAGGTGATCAGCCTCCAGTGCCTTACACGCCTTGGGTTTAAGACATGTCGGTTGCGTAAATGCGCACATAGAAAGAAATTCCATTGGTGCACAGCCGGGGATTGAACCTACAACCTCAGGGATGAGAGTCGCACGCTGAAGCCACTTTTTTTTTTTTTTTTTTTACTTGGGGAAATGGCCTTGCCTTGCGCATACCCTACCGCGGTGCGACTGCTTAGTGCGGGAGGGTTATGTGGGACTCGCGAATGTGCATACCCACTAAAACCCCAAGGCGCCACCAACAATCGCCTTAGGCGGGATGCGGTAACAGCAGAGCCTTATCCGCTTCCCGACATGCGATGCGGCAGTTGTGTCCGCCTCTCCCCGCCCATTGTTGATTTGTGAAGATACTTGACACAGCAAGTATCCTTCACAGATCGGGCCATACGCTTTTATGGATAGCTAGGGGAGATCGGGTCCAGTGCTTGCAGAGATGGATCACCATCCCTTCTATTGAACGCATGGACCCCTGCTTCCCCGCTTGGGCACTCTTTAGGTGGCGAGGATTTGACGGGCCTGCGGTTTCTTTCGCCGCCGCGGACGAGTTCCGGGACAAAGCTCCCTGGTTCTTCCCGCTTCTTCTTTGACTTTCATGACCGACTCGCAGAAATTATAGAAGATTTTCCACGAGCCGTCATTTCCTGCGCTCAATATGGCTTTCACTACGTTTGGCAGTATTGCGTCCTCGCCCTGGAGAGTCTCCTTTCCACTTCCCATGCTGGGCAGTCCCTCAGTGTATGCAGGGCGTCGTCCCGGTTGTCTCCGACACAGTGGTGACAGGTTGGTGACTCCTCACACCCTACTACTTTGTGCAGATAACTACCAAAGCATCCGTGTCCGGACAGCATCTGCACAAGTCGATAGCTGAGGTGACCCCAGCGCCTCTTTACCCAAAGCAAAGGTCTGAGGGCTTCGGTAGTATATTTACCGGCACTCGCACCCGCCAGCTCGCTTTCCCACTCTACTAACAATTGCTGGTCTTCTAAGGCTCGCCACGCGTTTAATTGTTCCAGTGTGGGGTTATCCCCTTTATCCCGAGCTTCGGCCCTCCTCCAATATACTTCGCTAAAAGCAGCCGCATCGAGGTGCCATGGCGCGGTACCGGCTATAACACACACTGCGTCATAAGACACAGTGCGGTACGCCCTCGCAACCCTGGCAGCGACCACTCGCTGCGACTGCCTGAGTATTGCGCGATTGTACCCGGTCAGTTTGTCGGCCCATATGGGACACCCGTACAGTGCTTTTGCCCGGATCGCATTAGCGTATAAGAGGCGACACCCCCCACTCGGCCCGCCGAGGTTTGGCATTATGCGCGAGAGCATGTTTGCGGTGGCGGTGAGCTTAGGGGCAAGTGCCACGAAGTGTGGTCTGAAAGTCCACCGTGGGTCAAGAATCAGCCCAAGGTATTTGAGCGTGGTACCGACCCGGATAGCTACTCCGCCGACAATGATGTCTGCGTCTTGAGGCGGAGCTTTTCCGTGGCCGTAGAAACATATAGCTTCTGATTTCTGAAGGGCGACAACAAGGCCGAGCTTCTTAATTTCAGAAACCACCCTAGCTACTCCAGCTGTCGCTCGGAGGCGCGCTTCCTTAAAATTTTCTCCAATAGCGACCACGAGGGTGTCGTCTGCATAGCATATAGTTGACACTCCAGGGACTAGTTTCGCTCGCAGCACCCTATCGTAACCTATGTTCCAAAGAAGGGGGCCAAGAACCGAACCTTGTGGGACGCCGCACTTGATGAGGTGACTCCCTATGCCATTTTGTTTCGGGAAGATAACCCGGCGGCCGTTGAGGTACGATGCTACACATTTTCTTATATAGGCCGGTAAGCCGTGGTGGCGCAGGCCGTCCGCGATACAGTCCCATGGTAAGGAATTGAAAGCGTTCGCGATGTCTAACGATACCGCGAAAACCACTCTGCCCCGTGACACCTGCTCCTCGCAGACGCTTCGCAGGCGCGCAATTGCGTCGATCGTTGACCTATGTTTCCGGAAGCCGAATTGAGCCTCATGTATGTTTGGTCCTATAGTTTCCAAATGATTGTAAATCCGACCGGCAATAATACGCTCGAAGAGCTTGCCGGCTTCATCTAGGAGAACTATAGGTCGATACGCTGATGGTGACTCTGGAGGTTTTCCACCTTTTTTTAGAAGAACTAGCAACCCAGTCTTCCATGTTGACGGAAAGAGGCCATTTCTAAGACATTCCGTGAGGAGGCCTCGAAAGCGCATGTCAAGACCAGCGTCGAGGGCCAGAGCTACGCTGAAGCCACTAGGCCAACACTGCTTATTCGTGATCAGTGACCAATAGTGATAAATTACAAAGTAGTTTTTTTTTAAATTGCATTTTTTTTTACTTTTAATGTTTAAATTATGTTCTCTTTATCATTGTAATGTTTCCCTCTAAATGTTGTGCACACTTGTTATTGCATGCATGTATCTTGTTTTCTTTAGTTGTGTTTGTATGTGTTTCGTTAGTGTGCCTTTAATAAAAAAAATTGTGCGTGTACTAGGTGTACACACGTAAGAAGTGAAACTTCTTTATGATCTTATTTTTCGAAAAATGATCTATATATATATATGCAACTTTACAGAAATTCGTTAAATTAGATAAAGTTTAACAAAAGGCTTTTATTATCATAGACATGAATACAAATATTTCATTTTACCTTATTACTACGAAGATTATTATAGAATTTCATTAATTGTAATAGAATTATTACTATCATTTAAAAAACCTGACGATTTGCTACAAAATTTCTCCCATACGTCGATAAAGAAGTTTCATTCCAACGCCGATAAAGAAGTTTGACTTCAAAAATCAACATGGCGCGTAACCGAAAAATGTGACGCGTAACGAAAAAATGTTACACTAAATTTTTTTCCAACCTCGATAAAGAAGTTTCACTTCAAAAAAAAGGTGCGTGTACTTATGTTTTTGATTGCATGCAAATAATTAATTACAATTAAATAATCAAAGACTGGAAAAGGAGTCATTATAGTCAATAAAGTTCAGTTTACATTTGAAAAATTAAATAAATAAATATTTATTATTATTCTCTTACATTAAGTGTAACATAAATTCTATTATTATTCGAATGTTGTTTTTAAATTATGTCCAATGCCGTGGCATCTTTCGTGGGCAACTTCATTCTGTTAATTTTGTGTCACGGTGCGCGCGCATCGTAAAGTTTTACTCTCATAAATTTTTCATAACGCGCCTAAAGAAATATATCTTCAATAAAAAAAATATTTATATCAATAAATAAAGTATAATTTCACCTGCGCAAGGTCTCCACAATTTCGGCCTCCTTCTCATCAGGCGAGAGTCGGCTGAAGTCCTCCGTAAGGGTTCTGTCTTCCGCTTTTCTCTTCACGGGAACGCTGACTCTGGAGACGGTCACTGGGGCTGGGGCTGGCACTGGAGCTGGGGCTGGAATTGGAGCTGGAGTCGGGGCTGGAGTTGTAATCGGCTGGGCTGGACTGGATTGGCTCTGGTTGGAAGCTGGAATTTCGAGAAACATGTGGTATTAATATTTATTATTTGGAATCTCCTTCTCGATTCAATCTACTTTTATCATATTTGTATCTTTGGTATAATGCAGATTTTTTAAAATATTTTTGTAACTATTTGTTGACATGTCAAATAATTCTATTAAAAAAATCAGAGTATAGGTTTATTTTGAAAAAAAAAAAAAAACTGTGATCCAACATCTGACTCTGCCGCACACACACAGTCAATAAGTATTAATGAATCACAAAAAATCTGGATTTTATATTAATACTAGTGGACCCCACAGACGTTGTCCTGCATGATATTTAAAGCGATTAGGATATTAAGCAAAGTATGAAAGTACCGACTGCAGTGCCATCTGCCGGGCTGATTTGTGAATCTAAACCATTCCCAGATCCCTTTGAACACACACAAAAAATTTCATCAAAATCGGTCCAGTCGTTTGAGAGGAGTTCAGTCACATACACACGCACAGAAGAGATATATATATAAAGATGCTCAATATTTATTTCTGCCGCGTTTATATATTGACCGTCTAACACATTGTTAAGGATTTTTTGACCAATTAAAAAAATTAAAATTAATTAATTTAGTTAAACAGTATACCCTCTTTATAACGGCATTCGTTATAACGAATATATAATTATATACGTAAATCGCGGCATATTATTTTAAATAATTGTTTAGCTATGCGACATTATTATTTATAACATATACAGTGTCAACTCTTTATAACGTCATTCATTATAACGAAAAACTCTCTATAACTATAATGAGTTAAATTTGTTTGATTTAACACTTTTTTTTGATTTGACGACTCATTGGTCTAGTGGTTAGTACCCCTGACTGCGAATCCATGGGTCCCGGGTTCGATCCCCGGCTGAGACAAACATCGATGTGATGAGCATTTGGTGTTGTGCTTAGGTCTTGGGTGTTTAAATATGTATTTATATGTCTATCTATCTATAATATGTATGTATATCCGTTGCCTAGTACCCGTAACACAAGCTTCACCAGCTTAGCATGGGACTAGGTCAATTGGTGTGAATTGTCCAATAAAAAAAAAATTATTCAGTGTACACTCTTTATAACGTCCTTCGAATATTAGTACATCTGAAAATTCTCTTAATAATTCTATAGAATTAAATGCAACTCTTTATAACGAAACTCTCCATAACGTAAATATCGTTAATTTTAATGAATTTACACAAACCCTAACTGTATTTCCATCTCTATAAAAACAAAGCTTAACGTAAATTAGTTATAAAGGTTTAACTATATTGCTAAAAACGAACTAATTATTCCTTCCAGGCAACCCCGATGAACCTTGAACATATCTTAGAAGGTCTAATCAGGAATCTTTGCAAGCAATTATGACCCCTGGAACCTCATAATTTAATATTAATTAAATTCAGTCATAATGCGTAATAGGCCAAAGCTCACCGTGGCCGGAGAGCTTCCTCGTCCGCTGCAAGAGAGCTGCCCGTGAGCAGCCGAGCAGCCCCCCGGCCGCGCTCCACGCCTCGCGGCGAACGCGGCTCGACGCTCCGCTCTTGTTCAGGCTCTGCTCCAGTCTGAGGACATATTTAAATTTACATTTTAATACAATTATTTAATCGCCAAGTATCGCTTCACAAGAAAATTATAAGAAAATGCATCCATTGCCCCAAGCCCCATATTGTTTTAAAGATATACAAAAGGACCTCGTGACAAAATTAGGAACTAAAAATTGGTTGCGTTCTATATTACATAGTCTGACAAAAACAATGAAACCGATGTTCCTTCCTTATCACTCGAATGGAGAGTGAGAGGGACAGCATAAAGCATTTGGACTTTCAGAATGTTCTTTTACTTGTGTAATGTGCATAAACGAATTGTAACATAACATCTCCTTTTTGTCCTTTTCGCTCACGTGGAAAAAAAGTGCATATAACAAGGATAGGAAGGAGCTTAGTATGTCTTTTCTTTCTTAGAAAGATTGAAAGAAAGGGGCTTCATAGCCTAGCGGTCTTATTAAGTGGCAGCTAGGTGAGGGGTACCGGGTTCGATTCCCGGTTCGAGGGCAAGTTTTAAATTTCATTTAAAATTGTTCGGCCTTTGGGAGGGTTGTGCGGTACCGGGCGAGTGCTTAAACCGTACACGGAACACCGTCGAATTTCTACGACAAGCACGAATTATAAAAAATCCATATACTTGACGACTGGCTAATGCACAAATCGTGCCAGAGCCATTAAAAAAAAAAAAGGGTGCGTGTACTTATTACGCGTAAAACAATGAAAGTTGTACTTCTTTGGCATTAATAAAAATAGTTTTTGATTGCATGCAAAAGATTAATTACAATTAAATAATCAAAGAGCTGGAAAAGGAGTCATTATAGTCAATTAAGTTCAGTTTACATTGAAAAATTAAAAATGTAATTTTTTATTATTATTCTCTTACGTTAAATAAAACATAAATTATATTTAGTTAAAATTATATATTATTTATATTTAGAACATCTCTACCAAACACTAAAGAAGTATGTTGTTGCTTTGGCAGTATTGCACATATAAAATTAATAAATTTCTTTGAAAAAATAATCAAAACTCCTTTAGGTATTTGTTTAAAGGGTAAATGACAAATGTCATTATGGTCATTCAAAATTCTTGGCATACGGACTTCACGGATGGTTCTATTTCTTTTTACTTGTAGATTGTCTTATTCCTATCTCGCTCTGGCGGACACGGTCTAATCCCAAATTTTGTGTCATAGGTCGCGCGCACTATAAAAATCCTCTTCACGCTCATAAATTTTTCAAACGCGCCAAAGTAGTATAACTTCAAAAAAGATTGAAAGAAACACTTTGTTACATTAATGTTGTTATTGTTGGAAAGAGATAGCATGAGATTTGGACTTTCAAGTGCAAAAAGTTCCTGTCAATCTCATGAAGAAAGATAGAATGCTTGAGATTGGGCAATGTGAATTTTTATATATACATATACTAGCTGGTCCGGCAAACGTCGTTTCGCCATGTATATCATTTATAATAAAAAATAGGGGTTGATCGTAGAGGGGTGGAAATTAAGGGTTGTACGTATTTTTTAGTGGCACATTATAAAAAAAAAAAATTCCTCCAAAAATAAAATGTGGACAAACCTTATCGGTTCACCCCTAACATTTTAAAAATTAAAATAAAACGCCAGGGGTGGACAACCCTTATCACATATAGGGGTATGAAAAATAGATAGTAGCCGATTCTCAGACTTACTGAATATGCATATAAAATTTCATAAAAATCGGTAAAGCCATTTCGGAGGAGTATAGTAACATTGTGACACGATAATTTTATATATAAGATATATGGCATTCCCCAAGTACCTAGCGACTAGCCATACTATTTATTTCGGGAATCGAACTTCAAAAGTGTACTTGGTTACCCACTTGAATAATAATTTCTTATGTAGAACAAGTTATACCTTGAATTTAATCTCTTATTCACAATAAGGAAGTTATATTGTAGGTACAGATTTTATTATGGAATCTCTCGTGAATATTTATTATTTTTACCTTTCTCTATATATTTTTGAAGTTATACTTCTTTAGGCGCGTTATGAAAAATTGATTAGAGTGAAATTTTACGATGCGCGCGCACCGTGACACAAAATTAACAGAATGAAGTTGCCCACGGAAGATGCTACGGCATTGGACATAATTTAAAAACAACATTCGAATAATAATAGAATTTATGTTACACTTAATGTGAGAAAATAATAATAAATATTTATTTATTTAATTTTTCAAATGTAAACTGAACTTTATTGACTATAATGACTCATTTTCAAGTCTTTGATTATTTAATTGTAATTAATTATTTGCATGCAATCAAAATCTATTTTTAATAATGCCAAAGAAGTATAACTTTTTACGCGCGTACATAAGTACACGCACCCTTTTTTTAAAATACTATCTCTATATATTAATTAAATATATCTAATATATTAAGCCACTCACTTCAATATACACTGATCAGTCTTGCTCTTCAGATCCTTCCCGGGATTATCTTTCTCTCGACTCACCAACTGAACCTTCTCCAACGCATCACTCACAATTTGTGGCAATTTCACTTCGAATTTCGCTTCTGTTTCTCTGAAAAAAGAAACAATTCTTGAGGTTGTGCGTTTAAACCCCAGCTTTTCTCCAATTTCATGCATTCCACCAATAGATTTAAGAGAATGATGTATGTAAAAAAATGATTTTTTTTTGTTCTGTTCTCATCTTTTTTAGTCATATTAATGATTATTTGAGTGAAATATTTAAATTAATATTAATTAGATAGTGTAATAATGTATTTTAATAATGTGATAACGTAATGTAATATATAACTACTATGTATAATTATACATATAATTATGTATAACAATATGTGTACCATTCTTGCAACTAAATTAATAAAGTCCCGTACTTACAAAAATTTAGAAATTATAAAAAACTTTTTGTCATTGCACTAATACACAATAAATATTAAAAAAAAATACATTAATATTACAAAGAAAAAAAAATTAATACCTGGAGCTATCCGAAGTGATGAGATTTTCAGAACTCGGTGCTGGCTTCGAAGTCAACGAGTCAGATTGTGATGTACTTGAACCTTCGGGACATGCCTCTGTTAAGGAAGTTTCCAAAAATTTATACCGACTCCAAATACCTATCAACATTATATACCTAATTATTTTCTATTACATAGGGGACATGAAGAAATAGAAAAACTAAACTATTAAACATATTTTATTGATTGGATATTTCCTATTAAATTTAAAAAAATTATCTGGATATTCCTCAGTTTACAATATTGTTGTGGACAAACATACATTCACTTAGGGAACGTATATTCTTACTCAAATAACACAAATGAATAGTCCAGATACTGGAAAAACTGATTATTTTCTTTAATATTAAAAAATAAACAATAGTCTAATATATAAAATTCTCGTGTCACAATGTTCTTTCCCATACTCCTCTGAAACGGCTCGACCGTACAGTACGTTTTTTTTATACAAAAATACATACAACCCCTAAATTTAACCCCTCTTCGAGCAACTCCTATTTTTTATTGAACTAAAAAAATGTTTCCTAGAAATAATATACATGGCAAAACAACCTTTGCCAGGTCAGCTAGTATAATATTGTTACGAAGACGGGTCGACTGCAATGTTTTTAGATTTTTCCACTAGTTAGAGAACTTTACAGCAGGCTGAAATGTGATTTCTGACCGTTTCAGGAGAGGGTCAATCACATATTAGAAAACCGTAATTTACATAATGTTACCCTAGTTTTCAGGAGCCTGAAACATTTTTTCAGGCCGTTTCAGAACACGTGTAGTCGACTGGTACACTTTTCAGGAAACCCGTTTTCAGGCGTTTTCAGGCCTGGTTATACCCCTTTGACGAAGGAATGTTCTAGAACGAATTTTCTAGGTGTGGGACAAGGACGGAACGATACGCGAGAGAGAGGGAAGATCGGAACCTTCTCGAAGCTAGACCGAGCACTCTAGAACGCCGTACGACAAGGACGGAGCAATGTGCGAAAGAGATAGCTAGTACGCACGTTCTAGAATTGTGCGATCGCTACTCAGTTGCACTGCCGCCTAGAGAGTTCTCGAACATCGCTCCCAGGGATATATAAGCGAGCCGAAACGCGACCGATTAGTTCAGTTTTGAATGCGATACCAAGCGATAAACACCGGAGTGACAAAGTGCGAATATAGTGAAGAAAAGTGAATACAAGTACTGTGTGAAGTGCGTGTTATTAGAGTAATTAGTGACATTATTTTGTGTGTGTATTTAGTGAATTTCAGTGCGTAATTATAATTTTTAGTGTTAACAAATTCCTCGTAGATTTAATTGAAAATAAACCCTTGAAGAGATTTACGGCGTTTCTATCCGATCCCCTAGCTAGTATAATATAAAAGAATTTTACCATCTGAAGTCTGTTTCCCCGAAGTGGGTGCTGTTGTGTCTGACGGACTGACACTTGATTTCTTCTTTTCATTCTTTTTTACTTTCTGTAATGTAGAAATTAAAAGCTCTATTATTTGATATTTTTGTATTAGCAAAAACTATTAACCTTAAGTGAGAAATAATATTTTTCATAATTCCAACAGAAAATTCTACACTAAATAAATAAATTAAACTCGAACATAATTTATAAATAAATGAATAATTATATATAATTTATTGAAATATCAATAAAAGTATACAAAAATTAAATTTCTTTCGATTTTAAAAGTTTAAAAACAGAAAAAATTTGAAACTTTATGACAATTTTTTTTTAATTAAAAAAAAATTGTCCTGATTGCTTTTCTTTCCACTAGAAGGTTATGTGGTACAAGAAAATACATTACATATAAACAACAATAACTCAGTAATATGAAGAAGAAAATTGTGAGATGATTATTATTGATATTACTCATAGACGTATATTCTAGAATAAATATTGCAGTAAATTTTAATTCTTTTTAGAAAAGAAAGTTTATGTCTTGACAAAGGAGTTGGTATGACTTGACTGACTTGATGACTTTGTCTTGCAAAGTTACATAAGAACTTACTTTCTTCCGGTGTTCGGTCTTGTGTGAGTCTGTGTTTCCATTTGGAACCGTCTTATTTTCTTTCACATCTTGACTGTCCGAGTTTGTTGAACTGTCTGATGATTCTTCCTCACTACTGCTTGAAGACAGTCGCCTCTGCAATTGTTTTATAAATTTATTAAAAATTTATAAATAATAAATTCAAATATTTCCCAATCTTAGTAATCCATTAGAACACTATCTTTATCTAACAATAATATATAAAAGAAAATCCTGCTATGCAAAGTGTGGACCAGGCTGCTAGTAAATTATAAACTTACCTTATTCCTTCTGACATCACCATCAGAGTTTGGGGTTTGATTCTCTGGGACAGTCTTGAACTCCAACGACCCACTGTTTATGTAAAATCCTCCATACAGTGTGTCACATTCTGGTGGAATCATCTCGTCATACTGGAATTTAGAATATCTAATTACAATAGTGTAGAAACTTTGTTCTTAGTTTTTTGATAATAATTTTAAAAACTTCATAGCCTCAGGAATATCTATACAACACTGCTAATATAATTAATTAAATGCTTGAAAACGTAGTGGGCTGATATTGGTAGATTTAACACCATTTTATTTATATGACAAGTTAGTATTGTGTTAGCTTTTAATATTTATTTAATTAAATTCTAAACATTTTTATGAAACATATTCTTTTGCTACAAAAGCGCATGTGCAATAATTACTCATTTTGTTTGGTTATTTACGAATTGTTACAAATTGACTTGAATAACTGCCCGAAGTGGTAAGGGCGAGTCGGAGTGGGGACTAGATGATAAAAGAGGTTGTAACACATGCGCACAGGCAATTCCTTTGTTCAAGTTTGAAGTTACAGTTTATGTAAAATCAATGTATGAATCATAGTGAATCAAGTCATCATTGGAGTGTTTAATTTCCTACCTAAGAAGTAGATCAACTAGCCCTTACAATTGTATGTCTGTGGAACACATTGAGTGCAACTAGATATCTGCCTTAAGATTACTGAGCTATGGGGACTTCCGAAAAATCAACGTCATAAAAACTACAGATCTCACTTATGATATACACGTAAATAAGTTTAAATACACAAGTTATTGATAACAAAAATATAAAATGATAAGTCTCTTACTCCATGTGTGTTATCAATGAAGGAATCATTCTCATCATAACCTGCGCCAATGTCAGCAAACTCTTCATATTTCGATCTGCCCTTTCTTCCATATGTGCTTTTTCCACCCTAAAAAGTAAGTTATCCAGTCTACAATGTATACAAATTACCAATGTTAAGTCAAATATTACTTAATTTAAGATACACTAAACAATAAATTATTATCATTACAAACTTTAGAATTTTAATTATGTGTATTAACCACAGCAACACATTCTAAAACTAAATACCTAAATAATCACACAATAATCGTACAATTAATGATACAATTTAAAAATAATAACGGTCAGAATAGTATTTAAACAGCCTTTATGATAAAGCAAGGTTATTGCTAAGCATAGGTAACATATGCATACTTCAGATGAATTGGACATATTATTATAATAAAAAAAATTATGCAACTGATTATTAATATGATCAGTACAAAACATAGAATAAAAAATATTGGCATTTTTTTTAATTTAAAACTTTGAAGTCAGTTCAGTTTTATAGTTTTAGACTACTATAAAACACAGTACAAAGTTGTAGTATCAGTCTTACTTTAATTATAAAAAATCCCAATTGTTTAATAAAAAATTTTTTCAGCAACTTACATATTTTTGTTCAAACTTCCTTGCCACTCTTTCCACATCGTCATCATTATCTGAGAATGGGTCCAGCCCAGCAGTCTTTCCATTTTCTATTCTTTTCTTTTTCTGTAAAGCAAAATAAACAAATTTCAAGGTCACATTTAAGGAATTAAATTAAAAATCAGCAAATAAGCAAATTGTTAAAATCGACATGAATCAGCTATGTATATGTTATAAATATTATGTCTCAAAGCTAAACTATTTAAATAATTTTCCGCGATTTACCTAAAACAAATCACTTTTGAAATTTTAAATTCACTATAAAAAATTTAATCACGACAGTATTGTAGTTTTCGTTTTGGTAATCATAATATTACATTCTAATTCATAACATTAAATTAATTCATTCATTATTAAGCATAAACAGAGTTTGATCATTATAACGTCATTGCTCTATTTAATCTTAGACAATGGGCTGAACACAAATCACAACCATAATCTATTCGTAAGCGCTCTATTTACAATCGGAACAAAAAATAACCTTAACGCGTTCACAAAGACAGATGTAAATATACATAATATACCTGAATACTAAATATAACACACACAGGCGCAAAACGGGCCGTATCACATAACCTAACTGTTATTTACCCCAATCGATTGACAAAAACAGAGCTTGAGACGAGCGAGATTGCAAAACGCGAAAATACTATACATAAATAGATCTATACCAACCTGCAAGTTTTGCAAACTCGTGCCAACATTACAAATCTCGCAGTACATAAGCTATCATGTACACAATATACGTATACATAAACTTCACGATAATAATAAAAATCCAAAGGACAAATTCTTTTAATTCTTGCATATTATCAAATTACCGAATGTAAATACATCGTACGTCACTCAACAAGCGATATCTTACATTTTATATTTATTATTTCAAATCGCATATAATTACGGTAATTACTCTATCATGATACCCGTTTCCTATTAATATCGAAAATAAAATATTAGAAAGTTACCTTACCCATGCATTTGCCGGAAATAACACTGCAATAGGCGGGTTAACTTAGGTCATACGAATAGACTACTTTCGCTGCAGTTCCTGTCACAATAAGCCACGACTGTCATTCCCAAACATGCAAATTGCTTTTATTATCATTGTATTTAAATAACAATAATTATATTAGAAGAAAACAACGATAAAGTTGAAACCAATTGGATCAAAACATTGCCCTCGCAAGTTGATGTCCTAGGTTGACAACGTTCATCAAAGATTGTTGCAAACATGGCGACCGATATCTGGGCTTTTTCTACAGCTCGTGAACGCAAAATCATGTAACAAACCTAATACGAAACCCATGTAACGTAAGCAAAAATTATTCTAAGGCAAATTTACACTTCGGTTTGCGGACCTGTCTCTAGCCGCCAAACCCCTTATTTACACCGGTTTTAACTCTCCACAAGCTTCCTTATGTTACAAAGAGCTGAAAAACCAGTATGGTTGCGTAAAATACTATGATTTTCTGTGATAACTTACTGCTGTTGCTATGACTAGTTCCTTGTAATTCAGCTCAGGATATTTACTTTCGTTGCTTTCGTCCAGATTTATAGCTAATCTCACTGTTTTATTCACATTATTCTTTACACTTTTTGGAGCACCCACTGTTATAATAGTAGCACGTTTAGGGTCCGACATTTTCCAACAAATTCACGCTTAAAATGATTTTTTTCAAAGCATGACACGGCCTGCATTTTCAAACTGTGTACCACATTGCCACCATGTTGGAATACATTGTTTGGGTTGTGAGCGCCACGGCGAAACTAAGTAACTTCGTTACAACTTTGAGTCACGGTCACAAGATGGCATTCATTTTATCCTTGGATATCTCTAGATGGCACAAGCATAGAATATTATTTATGGAAATTATATATATTCTTATATGTAACAATTAAGTAAATGAGAGTAGTACTTTTAATGAATATGTTTTTCTGACTAAAGTTTTTAGTCATGATCAGATATCTTGTATTTTCATAAATACCATATGCCTATTACAAACTTTAATGTAAGTACATAATATATGCATAAGATGTCGCTATCTTCAGTTTTTATCACATGATATTTCAGAATCATACTGTTTTATCGACGAACGGAAAGGCTCTTCATACTTTTGTTTTTTTAATTTGACGTTTTAATTGAACTTAAGCGCCAAATTGCGAATGCAAATTATTTATGTTATAATAATTATATTGTACCATTACTATACATCCAAATGCTATCATCTATGATAAGTTTAGTTTTAAATTCGTGAATTAATCAACATTTCAAATAGTAACCTATTGAAGGAAATGGATTAGATCCCGTTTGAATTAAATATTTTAAAAGCAGGTAAAGTTATACCTAAAATAGTTTCCTGTTTGAATTAAAAAGTCAATTCAAATTTAAAGGCGTATAGGCACTTTATAAACGGTACTATCAGCAGAGTGGGCCTTAAGTAGATTTTTTCGGAAGTGTTGATGACTTGGACATTATGAAACCAAGATTCCTATTAAGATTAGGTGCATTAGTCAACTGAGGGGCTCTTAAAACCCACTTCATATTTAGTGTCATTGGTTGAAAGAAAATTGTATTTCTCGCTAAGAAATTCATAGGAATATGTATACTAAAGATAGTTTTGTAAATCTTTACTAAAAACATAAGGTTTTTGCATCCCGTATTTGACCCGGAAAACGTTTGTTTTGCAATGTATATTATTTCTAGGAAACATTTTGGTTTTGGTTCAATAAAAATGACTATCTACAATAATAAAAAATAGGGGTTGATCGTAGAGGAGTGAAAATTAAGAGTAGTGTGTATTTTTGTATGATGTATCATAAAAATAAAAACAAAATTATTTTTTTTGGGTGGACACCCCAAATCACTTAGGGGTTTGAATGATATAATATAGTAGCCGATTCTCAGACTAACTTAATATGTGACATATTGTGTATGGGCCTCAATACGTTATTATGTGTATATCGACGTAGGAAAGCATATTTGCTGTATGTAGACAAAATACCTAAAGTGACTTTTTACTGCCATTAGAATCAGAAAAAAAAACCGCATAGTTTAGCGTTAGTTACAGCGTTTTAAAGGTTTGTGATTTAAAAAACTGTATGCTGTAACTAGCCAAACACCTACTTATAGTAACTTTGGATAAAAAGTTTACATTGCAAATGGTGACTGGCAGTTAAATAAATATATGTTTCAAAAATGGTAGCAATATCATGGATAGGTTCGACACTATTAATTTTTTTCCGAAATTAATTAATTTTTTTGGCTCTGGTGAACAATTGCAATATGTCTACTTACAGCAAATATGCTTTCCTACGTCGATATACTCTTAGACAATAGTCGCAAAATAACTTCCAACGCAACATAATATATAATTAATTAAAAACCAATTTTATACCTGGATATGCTAATTGAAAACGTGTACGACGGATATTTGCATAAATTTAATTACAACCCTTGTTTACAAGTTTAAATATACTTTTATACGCTCAATAGGTTTCTGTGTATATCTTTATATATATAATTCAACTATATGTGTGTATGTCACTGAACGGCTATATATTTTTTTATGCGTTTGGGTAGCGCCCTGGATGGTTTAGATTCACAAATCAGCTCGGCATATAGCGCTGCAGTCGGTATCTCGGCTATTTATCTATACAGCAAAAAAACTGCTGGTATATATACAAATCTTCTGTGCGTGTGTTCGTAATTAAACTCCTAAACGGCTGGACAAATTTTGATGAAATGTTTTGTGTGTTCAAGTTCAGTCCAGGATGGTAGTGAAACTTCTTTAGGCGCATGAGGGTAAATTTTTTACGAACGAAACGCAATACTAAGATTATTAGTGTCACGAAGATGCGCAGCGTTTTTGTCGAAGAAAAGGGAGAGAGCTATAGTGGGAAATATTGAGAGCGAGAGTGAGGGAGATCTTTAAGTTGATGAATTCGTTTAGTAGTTACAAGAACTTTAGATGTCAATTCTGTCGCATAACGCCTTGCTTTTTAATATATGAATGACAATTAAATTCATTAAATTCCTAACATGTCTTACTTTTTCCTTCCCTTTTTTGTTTCGGATCCGCTAGTTACATATATAGTTAGTTAAATATATGTCAATTTTCGTAAACATAATATAAATTCGGTATCAGATAGGAACTTAACAATGTTTTTAAATAGATCAACCCACTACCAAATCAAGCTTATACGGAATAAACACTACTTATTCAGAGCTTTATAATCACGAAGAATTCCAATAAGAGGTGCCTGAACTCCTAGGTTGGTTTTTGCAGACGGAATTTGGATAATTCTGCTGATTTTACACCTTGGCAATGAATATATGATAGAGGACAACTCTTTGTTTTTAATTTATGTTATTATTATTAATTTATTAATTAAACATGGCAATTTAAAAGGGTGGCGGAGAGTTTATTGCCAGTTCTTCTCTTCCGTTCTACGCCCTTGATTTGAGAACTGGCACTAAATGTAAAATTAGAAGCATTAACAGCCTGGCCACGGGACATTCGCTGACGCGAATATTCGCGCGGTGCGAACCGCGATGCGTCTAGCGACTGAAATAAACTCATAGCAATGTACTAATCAAGCCACGCGCAACGGCGACCAGCGATGCGACCGGCGAAATGTACCGAGCGAATCGCGCGGGCGACTGACGTCGCGACGGGCGAGCGAAACAAATGCATGAATCAGTACGGTGCAAGCCACGGAGTCGAGCGGCAGTCGCGGCGAATAGAGAAGGGAATAAATAAGTTTAGTCGTGGTCGCGGCGAAAAATGAATACAGAGTTTTTTGTTACTGAAATACTGGCTAGACCAGCTATTTGGAAGTCTGGCCATCCACAGCATTAATTTAATATACCTTAATCTCAAAAACAATTTTTCAGCGGAACTTAAAATTCTATTTGCATTAACTTTTTTCTCCAATTCTGGTTGAATATTCATAAGAATATAATTGAAGGTTTCAATACTCATTCTGGTATACTCAAAAAAATAATTCTGGATATATTCTGAATTTCTCATACTTCTTGTGGAATTCTCCACAATTTCTCCAAATATTAGGTCTTGCACCAAAAGCTATTACTTTCCAAGCAATATTGAGATGATTTCGATAAAGACATTTCGCTGTCGAACTTCCTTACTGGTCGCGGCGGCAAACGTGACTGGTCCGTGGCCTGCAAACGGCCCCGCGCGAATGGTCGCCTCGCCTCCCGCATCGCAGTTCGCACCGCCGATCCCCGTGGCCAGGCCGTAATATGTATTTCTTTACTGACAAGCCATAAGTGTATAATGTGTTACCTATATGATTAAATGATTTTTGAATTTTTGAATAAGTGATGACAATGTTACTGTTTTGTATTGCTCCATGCCTCCTGCTGATAGAGGACAAGTCTTTGTTTTTAATTTATGTTATTATTCTTAATTACTTAAGAAGTCATGTGGAACGTGGTGTAATGGTAAACACTTGGCGATTAAAAAAGAGTGGCGGACAGTTTATTGCCAGTTCTTCTCTTCCGTTCTACGCCCTTGATTTGAGAACTGGCAGTAAAAGTAAAATTAGAAGAATTTAATGTAGGTATATTTCTGTTTTGCCGTTCATAAGTGTAGGTACTTTGTGTTACCTATATGAATTAAATAATTTTGATTTTACATTTAACTAAACAAGAAGGAAAATATCTGAAGATTTTTAAGGAAAAATCGGCGCTGATTTATTAGCCCTTTAAAAATAACGACTTTCTCATTGGAAATCAAATAGTCTATTATTTTTTAAGGCTATTGAAATTTAATAATCTTTTGAGATTTTTATTCTAGATATTAAAATTGAACGTAAAAGCTAATTTTGTCATTATTCTTAGGTGAAACATTGATTTATAAAATCGAATATCTTAATATATATAAATTACGTGTCACGTTGTTTGTCCGCTATGGACTCCTAAACTACTGAACCGATATCAATCAAATTTGTACACCGTGTGCAGTTTGATCTAACTTAAAAGATAGGATAGCTTACATCTTAATTTATACCCGCAATATTATTTTATTACAAATTATTTGTTTATTATTTGATAGTCACAATTCCAACAGATGGCGCTGTGTAAAGTACCAACGTTTAACATAAGCTATAATTGAATGGCATAACCACCAAAAAAGCATGGTGGTCCCCATGACTGGTGTTCTCCTACCGTTTCCCTTGAATAGTTTACTACTATGTACTATGTGTATGGACTCCTAATAGCCCCAGCCTCCTAGAAGCTAAGGAGCAGCGGAGTCTCAAATCTCTTTTTTCTTCTTTTTGCATAGGGACTTTATTTACATTAGCTAATTAGCTAGGTCTGGTAGGCATGGCACCAGCAAGGGCAGAGCGACAACTTCTTCTTCTTCTTCACCAAGCGCATTAGGTGTTCTACACTAGCCACTCTCGTCCATTCTCTCATAGTACGGGGCCACGACTTCCTCCTTCTGCCAGCGCGTCTTTTCCCCTCGACCTTGCCCATCATGATGACTTGAAGAAGTCGTTACAACAAGCGACAATATCCATTTATGGGCGTATCGGAGCCCGCTGGCTGGCAGGATCCGCGTATACACTTGTGCTCTTCATCTTACTGACATATTTCCAATCCAATTCGACCCTCAG